TGGATTACTTGATCACACCTGTTGAGGGGCATGTATTTTTCAATTGTTGTCATTTGCACTAATTTCCTACTTTCATATGTTTCAGATTGAAAAGTTACATTCTCTAATTTTTTTAAAAAAAATCTACATATTTAGATTTCTTCATCATGGTATATAGAATTGGAATGAACAGTTTAGTTCAGGGATAGGCAACCTTGGCTCTTTTATGACGTGGACTTCAACTCCCAGAATTCCTGAGCCAGCTGTGCTGGCTCAGGAATTCTGGGAGTTGAAGTCCACAACTCCTAAAAGAGCTAAGGTTACCTACCCCTGGTCTAGTTCATAGATGGTGTCCAATCCCATCCTTTGTGCAGAAATCTAAATCAGACTCTTCCAGTCTCTACTTGAACAATATCCAGTAAAAGATAGTTTCAGATTACCCTTTGTGGGTGGGTGGGTGGAGTATCAACCCTCTTTTATTGTTTTTTTCCCCTTAACAATCAAGTGAAATCCATGTTCCTATAAATTGATTGATTTCTTTCATGTCCCACATTTTGGGACAGTATAGAACAGGTTTTGGTTTTCTTCTATGTAGCATCCCTTCAAGTATTTGAAGAATGGAGGGAGGCCAGCTTACAACTTTAAGATTTTAATTTGTTACAAGAACTAAAAGGCTTATATATCTGGCACATCAATTTGCAAAAGTGGAGGGGTGAGTTAACCTAGAGCAAAAGCCTATTAATAGAAAAGATGTGTGCTACAATAAAGCATTTTGTAGTTACTTTTTATGCTGTGGTGTTTCCAGTCCTTAGAAACGAAGAATCCCCACATTTTCCTTCATTAAATGTAATTCTTTTATTTTCTCTGACCCATCAACATTGTTTTGTTTTGCTTTATTTTCTGGGGTTTGGTTCCAGATGTGACATATGCCATTTCTACTTCATCATGAAAGTCAATAAACATGTTAGAGAGTATTGGGCTGAGGACTGAATCATGACACACTATACTCAATATCTCATCAACGTGATACTGTTGATGAGCAATCTTTGAACTCAGTTTTCAGATATATTCAATTAAATGTCATATTTTTAGCTCATGCTTTATTAGTCTGTTAACAATGTTATGGAGTATGTAAAATTGTATACCGAACTCAGTATACACACACACACACACACACACACACACACAGAGTACAATATTAGTACTGATTTGTTCTGGAAAAATCCACACTGAATGCAAAGTTTTCAAGATGAGGTAAGACTTTATTATGGCCACAGATCAAAAACAGAAAAGATTACTATAGTAAAACACCACAGTTGTAGCCGTCACAGAAGGGCACAGGTTGGATACACAGTATAATAAAACTTGGCAATATTTAAGGATGTAGAATTGTGTTTGTTATCTGATAAGTAATGTGAATAAAATAAATTAGACTTCCCTGGGATTTTAGAGAGTAGAGTCAAGATCAGTTGCAAACAGGTGTCCCTACAGAAATGGCAATATAACCAGCAGTGTATGTCTTCTCATATATTGATATTAGAGTGACTGGGCCTAGACCAGTGGTGGCGAACCTTTTAGAGACCGAGTGCCCAAACTGCAACCCAAAACCCACTTATCCATCGCCTGGTGCCGGATGGGCATGGCCACTGAGTGGGTGTGGCCACTGAGCTGTCGACTTGTGCTCGCTCGCTCACTGTCCGCTCCAACTTGTGCTCGCTCTCTCACTGTCTGCAGTAAATGCTGCTTCCGCTGAAAGTTGCTCCTTTTATAGCCTTTTGCCTATTCCCAGACTGCGCATGTGCAGAGAGCTGCGCATGCACGGAGAGGAGGAGGGAACAGCTTGGCCCAGCAATGGCTCGCGTGCCACCAGAGACGGCTCTGTGTGCTGCCTGTGGCACACGTGCCATAGGTTCGCCACCACGGGCCTAGACCATCATATTTTTGAAGAAAGGCACACCGGTTCTCCAGAATTTTTCAAAGATAGAAATTCAGCCAGATCATCAATAATCTTACTAGTGCCTTATGATGCAAATTATCTGCCCATGAAACTTTGAACTCATTCAGTATAAATGGTATTCCCTGACCCTATTTCTTTCAACTTAATCTCTCCATTTGGAAGAATACCTATCTTATTTTTGAAGACTGAGCAAAAATGGATTAATTCTCTCTTTCTTTGTTACCTTTTAAGCCTGTGCCACCTTCACTGACCATATGGCATACTGTTTTCATTGTTTTATTTTGAACATAATTGAATAAGTCCGTTTTGGATCCTTTGCCAACCTTAGCTCATTCTTAAACATCAGTTTTTCTGAAATCATTTTTACAGTTCTAACTAACCTGTCTTGGTTTCTTTTCTTTGTAAATTCTATATATATCTTTTTAAATTTGTTTTATTTACAGTCCCAGTCACATCAGTGTATCTTTTTTTTTTAATTTTTTTTATTTTTCCCAACATTTTTATAGCAGCCACATTGGCTTGTTCAGTATTCTGTTTTTCTCTTCTGGGAATTATTTGTTATTCTGCTTCTAGTAGCTCCTTTGACAGGAACTCCAGTCCATCTTTCCCATTAATTTTTTCTTGAACAGAATGTTCCTTAGTATTACTCTCCATTTACTTAAATCTGTATTTCTAAAGCTAAAGCTGATTATATCCAAGTCTAATTTAAAGTCAAGAACTCAGGCATTACATAATCAGTTTTCTCAACATTTTTGATTTTCCAATTAATTGATCTACCATCTTCCGTTATCTAGTTAATGATAACTGATCTGAGCCTTCTACCACCCTCTGGAGGACAAAGTTATCAGCAAAAGAGGTCAGGAAGAATGATGGAAGATCTTAGTGCTTTTTTTATTGTCTTACGGGCTTCAGTTACTTTACTTCACTACTGCTCTTCTGAGCTCCAGACTCTAGTTCAGGGGTGTCAAACTGCTGAACCGCAGGCCGGTTTCATCATACCGGTTTTATCATACTGAAGTCCACAACTCCTAAAAGAGCCAAGGTTACCTACCCCTGGTCTAGTTCATAGATGGTGTCCAATCCCATCCTTTGTGCAGAAATCTAAATCAGACTCTTCCTGTCTCTACTTGAACAATATCCAGTAAAAGATATTGCCGGCAATGCACGAGGAGTCGCGATACGTCGCAACAGGTCAGGTGATGTGGCGAGTTTGACACCCGTGCTCTAGAGGTAACAGTGACATGTGGAGTTGTTTTAAGATGGGCAGCTATATTGAGGGATGGAGAAATGGGAAGGAAGGGAAAAGAAGAAAGAAAGAAGAGAAGAGAAAGGGAAGAAAGAAGGAAAGTTTTCCTCTGTCATGCCTGTTCTAAAGTGGTTAGCACTACATGTTAAAGTTGCCTTGAATTAGTTATTTATCCAGATAATTACATTCAATCAGAAAGCAGAAAGTGTTGAATGGTGTGTATGAAATTAATTTTATTACTTTTCTATGCTGTGTGAAGCAGATTTCTCGTTCTAATTAGGGACATTATATTACAAACATCTGTGATTTTGTTGACTTTAGAGGCTTTGTAAAAAAAAAAAAAATAGAACGAAATCCCATCCCTATTACTGGATAAAATTCTTGATGTTAGAGGGTTTTGTAGCTCTTCCCCTAATCCTAATTGTGCCTGCAAAAGATAATGCCCAATTGAGATCCCAAAGTCTCCAGAAATCTATGATATAGAATTCCTTTTCTGAAATTATAATTTATTAATTCATGCTTAAATATTTAATACTATAATTGAAAGATTTTTCAGTTCATTTACTCAGTTAACATGCAGCCTTACATTTTAGGCAACTGAATATAATCTAAAATTGATCATTGTTGCTTTCGGGGGTTGTGTCCTGGGCTTTGCTAAATCTTTCTATGGATTCCACATTTACTGTGTGCCACATTAACTATGAGAATGATTAATAATCAAATCATAGTATAGCTTTTTTTTTTCAAGAGGCAAAGACTAAAGACTAGCCCCCTCAAAAACATTAAAGCGTTAAAATGGAAGAAATACTGAAAATTGTGGCTTCTTGTTAAAAGATTCTTGAAGCCACGTTTCTGTGGCATTGCTTGGCATGTTAGCTCTATAATTTTGTACAGGCTGAGAGAGGAAGAACTCACATGGAAAACCCAGTGATATTGTGATCCTGGTGTCTTGAGTTTTTATACAATATGCTGGTGATGGAAAGCTATTTTAGTCTCGGTGCCAGAAGTACAATACTGTACTTGCCGAATAGGCAAAAGGCGTCTTCAGAGTATAATAGCCAAGTATTCTGTCTTGAATTGCAGCGAAGAGAGAAGTTTATATTAGCCACAAATACCATAATCCAGGCACAGAAGACTGTCTGACTTGATTGCCCTGTAATTGAGTTTCTTTAGGGATCTTCTCCCTAGTCTTTCTGTAGGATAATCCAGAGGAGTAAAAAGCCTGGTTATGAAACCTGGCAAAAGCAGAAAAGAGAAACCTCAAGAAAAATATTGGCTGCCAGAAAATAGCAGGGTATTTTAAAGCTGTTTTTCCCGTATTTAAAATATATTTAGTTGATCTGAAGATTGTAAACGCCATTTTTTTTAATGTTTAAAAGGATTTAAATGTTCATGTTATTCAGTACTAAGAGCTTAGAATTTTATTCTTCAGATTTTTATGTATTGTTTTGAAAACAAAATGACAGGGAAACAGAAAAAAGTGAAAGCCAAAAAATAAAAATACATGGTCAAAGAAAAAAAATCATACATAGATTTTTTTTAAGAAAAAAAAAGTAAACAAATACAAAGAAAAAATAAAATTATGTTACTTCTAGCCTTTGGTAAGTCTACCCACCCCCTTTTTTTAAAAAAAGAAAAAGAAATCCTGTCCATTTCAAAAGTATTTTGCCATACAGGATGAAAAACTGCAATTTGAGTTAAGTAATTTGATAATACAAACTCAGCTGGCATTGTTACTTGTAATTATTGTATATCAATATGAAAACTTGGTTTACTTGGAATATGCTTATGTTCTTTAATTGCTGTTTCTTATTACAGTCTACCCCATTACATTTGGCTGCAGGATATAACAGAGTTCGTATAGTCCAGCTTTTACTTCAGCACGGTGCTGATGTCCATGCAAAAGATAAAGGGTAGGTAAAATTGTATAATTTGGTTTTGATAGTGCTAATATGATGTAAGAGGAATATGGGTGAAAGCACCTTTTTATAATGACATTTACACAGATTCATAGTTACTGTTTTGAAGCCAGGCCAAACTCTTCCCTTCCCCCTAAATCGTTTAAATCTGGTTGCTTTTTTAAAAATTTTGTGTATATTTGTAATTTCTGTTTCCTTCACTATCCTCTGTTTTGTTGTTGTTTTTGCTTTCCATCTTAGCATATTTTATTGCAGTGTATATTTGAATTAATAATATTCTGTGAGCCATTCAGATGAATCTAGCAGTGAAAATAAAATAGCGATTTGAGTAAAAGTGGAATAGTATAGTTAGGCAAATTCATGGGAGTAAACCATATATTTTGCATGTATTCATGTTGCCACTATATCATATAAGATCTGGATTGTCCACATAGTAGTCTTTTCTCCATATTTAAATGCTAAATAAAATATATCATTTGTTTATGGCCCAGATATGGGGAAGATATTTAGATAGTAAGTATCACTCCTCTGTAATTTATGACAGCAGATTTGATGACCTCTCGGATCCCTTCCAACTGATTCTATTCTATTAATTTGATTTAAAATATTCAGTTGTATCTGTAAATTTGCTGTATTCTTTTTTCTTGTCTATGAATGGCATGGATAACCTCAGTTTTAAAGTTCTGTTGTATTTGTCAACTTTTTACGGAAGTATTGAGTCCTTGAATGAGCTTAACTTTTTTCTGCAGTATTCAAATTTAATATATTCTTGGAAGGCATGTTAAATAGTTTATGTAAGATTAAAGCAAGGTATTTTTTACCTAACTGGTTTATTTGAAAGTTTGAGCTTTTTCCAAGTTCCGGTTTTAGATGGTATGTCACTATTCCAATTTTTGTTTGAAACTGGTTCATCAAAGTTGGCTTATTTTACTCATGTTTTTTACGTCTGAAATTCTGAGTGGAATAAAAATATAAAAACTATGAAATAGTCCTTTAGAATATATGTAAAACATGTCCTTCAATGAAATGTAACTGTGTATACACAGCAGTAAGACAAACAATAAGACCAAAATAGAGAACAAACAAAAGAACCCTTAGAAAAATGCCACCCCTACACTTATGCAGGCAGGAATCATTAGAACTGTGCAAAGCTTTACAAATAAACAATTTGCCAAATGCATTAACCCAAGCAAAATATTAAAGCAGATAAAATATATGGTGCAGTGTAGTAAGAATTATTTTTCTCAATAGTTAAACAACGTTTTATTTTCTTTATTATAGTGGACTTGTGCCTCTACACAATGCATGTTCCTATGGACATTATGAAGTTACAGAATTGCTGTTGAAGGTGGATAAGTTAATAATTATGTAATTATGTGAAGACTGTCATTAACGTGTTATTCTGTTTACAAATTATAGGTTGTATTGCATGCAAGATAATTTGTATGCCTTTGTGATGTTGATAAAGAAAATAGATACCTCCCTGTTCCATATTTTAAAAGGCCACTTCTTATTTGAAATAATTCATCATTATAGAACACTTAAAACTGTCACCAATTTTAGTAAATTATAAAAAAACAAAACAAAAACCTTTTACTAGAACTCCGGTCTAATTTTACTAAGTCAAAAATGATAACATTCCTATTCTATTTTCTCATCTATATTATAGAACAGATTTATTTATTTAGAAAATTTACATGGCTGCCTAACATAAGTGAATAACTATTGAAAACAAAAATGAAATTAAATGGAATATAAAAAGCCAAGGTATTTTGCAAGTAACTCATAGCCCCCAAAACTCACATAGTGGATTTCTTTAGCAGGCAGGCCATAACACCTGAAAGAAAAGCCAGGCTTTGATGGCCTTTTGCAACCCAACAAGTCAGGGCCATCCAATTTTGGGGGAGGAGTGGAGGAGGGCAAAGGGACTTGTTTCATTGGGCAGGCACCATGACAGGAAAGGCATGTCTCCTGAATACCACAAGATGGCACTGTTTCATAGAACAAGCACTGCTGTATTTGCCCCAAGCCAGTCATCAGGTTTGTGTTATTTCAAGTTGAGAAATAAAGGGCTCTCAAGTGCTATATATATATCAAGATTCATTGTAATTTGTCTGTTATACCAGTTAATTTTTGTAAACAAATCTCATGTGTTAATCTCGCTCTTTCGACGTCAAGCAGAATACATTTGTTCAGATAATGAAATAAAATGATTAAATTACTTCATATACGTTAGATATAAATTCTAATAATAAGATTTTTATCACATAAGACAGATAACCTAGTGCAGGGGTGTCAAACTCAATTTCATTGAGGGCCGCATCAGCATTGTGGTTGCCCTCGGGGGGCCGGGTGGGTGTGGCCAGGGTGGGTGCAGCCTACTGGGTGGGCATGGCTAGTTCTACATCGTTCGCGTCAAGGGTACCTGTGGGGGCTCAGCCTCTTTGTGCTGTGAGGAGAGTGCCCCACTGCCTGTCGAAACCCCTCCCCCGGAGCCTATCAAGCCGGATATGTGAAGTAGGCCAGGGCCATTTGCTGGCCACTTCCAGGCGATGGAGCATTCCTTCATTCCTCACAAAGGGTGACACCTCCCCAGCATGCACCCAGGGGCTGGGGCCGACGCAGCAGGGGGGCTGGTTCCTCGCTGTTTCCAGATGGCCTTGTGGAGCTAAGACTGAATGTGTTTCAGCATAGATAGCCACCACAAAATTGTACATTGACTCCTGGCCGGCCTGGGCCAGAGCCAAGGCAGCGGGGGCCATTCCCTCACTGTTTCCAGGATGGCTTCGCGGGCCACATGAAACCACTTTGCGGGCCGCATCCGGCCCCCGGGCCTTGTGTTTGACATGTCTGACCTAGTGTATTTAAAACTAAAAAATAATTATAATATTGACACAACATAAAATGCCTGTTGTCTTTTCCTCCTGTTAACATGTTCCTTGTTCCTTAGCATGGAGCCTGTGTTAATGCAATGGATCTCTGGCAGTTTACTCCATTACATGAAGCCGCTTCCAAGAATCGTGTGGAAGTTTGTTCTCTATTACTCAGCCATGGTGCGGATCCAACATTAGTCAACTGTCATGGCAAGAGTGCTGTGGATATGGCACCAACACCTGAGCTCAAAGAGAGGCTCACCTGTAAGTATTACTATGTGCAAGGTTTTATCATTCTCAGCAAGAATTCATTATCTTTTCTACAGTATTAAAAAGGATATTCTGTTTTTTAAAGGAAGGCTGATCTGGTATCTCACCTTCAATTGATGAATTTTTGATAACATTGGAGAAATTTAAAGGATTTATGCCTATGTATTTTATGGTGTTTCATCATATTTATTAATATAAATTTATTTATGCGGCCACCCATCTCGGTACTATGACTCCAGGAGGCTATCAAAAATTAAAAATTACAATGTAAGAAAAATACATAACTAAAGCACAGAGTGGCTACCAAAGATACCACATACCAGCAGTGTTGGCTGAATTGCTTTCTCAACTCCTATGCCTAAGAAAATAGCCTGGTCTTCAAGACTTTCCCAAAAGTGAGCATAATCAGGACCAACCTAACCATATCAGTTACAGAGGTAAAGTTTTAATTTCTAGCATAATTCCCCATCACCATCACTTCCTCATTATTGGGAACAATAAAACTTACAAAACAAAGACCTAGGAACTTTGTAGAACCTAAGATGTTTTTGGTCCAGCTTTGTGGGTGCCACATTGCTCAGTCAATGCTAAAAAGAAGCCTATCAATAGGAGTACTAGCCAGTGTTCTGTCTAATGTTTTCAGAAGTGCTATTGTCTCAGATACTGGAGCTAATATCATAACCAATAATCATTGAAAACATTAAGTTTCCATACATTAGTTGTCCTTCCATGCTTTTCCAACTGACTCATATAGGTATCACTACATATCTGTGTGACAATTTCCATAATTTCATAAAGCACCTGAGTCAGGTGATGTTTCCTTTTGTCAGTCTTATATCGCCTGTTCTCAGCTATCCATTTCTACTGGTTGATTTTCTCCATACAGTACATAATTGTGTATATTGATGTTATGACTCCATATCTTATTTACAATTTCCATCTTTTCTGGTCTAAAAAATCCCAAATGAAAAATGTGCTGATAGGATAGCTCCACCATCTCTTTGATTATCTGCTTCCTTTCCATATATTACACTCCCTCCTCATTTAGCAACCATATTCTAATGACTAGGGCAGGGGTAGGCAACCTTGGCTCTTTTATGACTCGTGGACGTCAACTCCCAGAATTCCTGAGTCAGCATGGCTCAGATTGGAAACCTCTCCCTGTCCCTTCAGCATGGCTGGCTCAGGAATTCTGGGAGTTGAAGTCCACGAGTCATAAAAGAGCCAAGGTTGCCTACCCCTGGACTAGGGCCTAAGCAAAATGATCACTAAGTGATTGAAAAAGAGAGAAAACGCTGTGAAGATAACTAATTACAGCTGTTTCATTCAGATAAAGTTCTCTTGTACAATATCCCTTTTTCCCCTTCGGCCAGAAAATGATTTTTTAATATTACTGCATTTTTATTATTGTATTTATTATTGTATTTTTGTAGTTGCAAAATAGTTGCTAATCAAAGTAACCACTAAATGAGGAACGGCTGTATTTAACACCCTGAAAGCTGTTTTTGAAATGCGTCAACTTGAATTATATATATCGTATTTTAAATGTGACCATGGAATAGAAAGACATATTTATAGTTTTTATTTTCATTCTTTTCCTAATGAATCCCCAATGTGGGATTTCCCTTTTTCATAGTTTTGCACACTGAATTTTAATTGAGTTGTTTACTACAGTCTCAAGATTCTTTTCTAGGTTAGAGATTCAGTCAGGTTATATGTGAAGATGTTATTTTTTTTTCTTCCTTTTTGGCATTTGCATACCCTGAGCCACATTTGCAATTTTAATATCTCTTTTTGTGTTTTAGAATTCTTTGCCATCCATTTTTGTTTTGACTACCTTATTTATTTGGTGTTGTCAGAACAACTGAAATCACCTTCAGGGACTATCAGAGAAACTATATCTGCAGTAACGTTATTTTGCACTGAAAACTATTTTGATTAAAAACTGCCTTTACCGCTTAAATCATGGATGTTTTTCTATCTTTCACAAGCATTACTTGAGAGAATATATAGGGACAGTCCACTAGAGAATTTTTTCCCTTCTATATTATTTTTCCACACCACTGTTATAAATCTGGTTTTACAACAGATATTTATCACCTATAACTGTGTTTTTTCCCTTCTGCAGATGAATTCAAAGGACACTCCTTATTACAAGCAGCAAGGGAAGCTGATTTAGCCAAAGTCAAGAAAACACTTGCCTTGGAAGTCATTAATTTTAAGCAGCCACAATCTCATGAGACAGCACTGGTGAGATCATGGAGTCACTCTTCTTGCTTTAGCTGTGTATACATTTAAGATTTTTTAATCATAACAATACTTATACATAGAGTTTCAACTATGAGAAAGTAATGCTTGACCTGATGTTGATTTAATGCATATTAAGAAAAAAATCTCTTCCATTGATCCAAAACATTTTTTTCTTTTTCCCCTGAAGTGTATTGTACAGTCCCTTCAATATTTTATGTATTCTGTGAAAGTAATCTGTTAAAATGTAATCACAGTATAATTAAGATATTGGAATAGTATTGGGGAGACCCAAGTCTAAGGCCACCTTTGGCTATGTAAATTCAATGGGCAGTTTGAGACCAACCACTCTTCCTTCCTATATAAACTACTAATATGAGATTTTGTTATTAAGGAAGACCTCCTTGTCAGGGACCTACAGTCATTTGAAGTAAAAGTGGGATAAAACATAATGTTATTGTTATGATTAATGGAAGTAATAGTAGCAAAGCTTATCTTTTTGCATAGTTCTTTGATTCAGTGCATGAAAAAAGGAAGGAGAACTGAAATGACTATTTTACCTCTCATTCTCTCTTGAGTCGCAAATACGGTAAATCCTGATTGAAATCTGGCTCCCTTAGATACAAAACCTAACAGATTAGTTCCTCTCCAGAAAAAATATAAATAAAACCAGTCTACATAGTAAGCATTAAACTTATTCTAATTTGTTCACAATGCCCTTGGAGCAGTGATGGAAACCTGCTGGCTAAGTGTATGTAGGGTTTTAATTAGGTGTAATATGTATTTATGTTAGCTTTTTTATTATGTGTCAGCCGCCCTGAGTCCGAAAGGAGAAGGGCGGGATATAAATGGAATTAATAATAAAAAATAAATTCTGGTGGTTGTTCTCTTGTGCTTATTTCATTTTTGGGTTTTGCTGCTGATATAGATACCAGTGGAAAGATCATAGACCTACCACCTGAGACATACAAGCCAGGCTGAAATAAACCAAGGATATTTAATGAAGTGACTGAGAAAGATTTGTTCACATGGCTCATGTGGTCCTAATGTTTGAGGAAAGAACATGGACAGCTTAGAAATAGGGCAGATCATGTAAATTATGCTTTACTAGTGTTATACTCTTAAGATACATGGACATAATTTTATTTTGTTTATGTATTTATTTACTTATTAAATTTCTGTGCTACCCATCTCACTAATACAGCAACTCTGAGTGGCTTACCTTTTATTATAGTATAGATTACATTATATTACAACCTTCTCATTATATACAATGCTGTCTCTTTTGCAGCACTGTGCTGTGTCTTCTCTTCACCCTAAACGGAAGCAAGTCACTGAATTACTGCTTCGAAAAGGAGCCAATGTCAATGAAAAAAACAAGGAGTATGTTTATTCTTTGAAATTGCAATATTTGCATTTAGATGGAATGGGCAAGCTTTGAGACCAGTTAATCTTATCTCTTTTCCAATCTAGTTTCATGACTCCTTTGCATGTGGCTGCTGAACGAGCACACAATGATGTTATGGAAGTCCTTCATAAGCATGGAGCAAAGGTAAATATTGTTTGGTATTTTAAATTATGCAGTGGATGGGAAGAGTGGTCTTTTGTGTAATCTCTCTTGTGTATGATTAGCAGCTGTGACTCCTGTTTATTCTAATAGAAACATGGATACCTCTGGTCCTGGTGACCAACCCAGATTGGATCCAGTAACATGGATAGCTGTTTCAGGAGTGGGCACTCAGTATTTCATATTGTTCCTTATAGAATTTGAATAAATGAACTTTGGAAATATTATATTGTATCTATTTCCTGAACAGATTTATTTGTCAAATGGGTTTCTGAAATCTTCTACTATAAGCTTCTAGAGACCTGGGTTTTAGAAAAAAAAGGTCTTTATTTTTATTCATCTCTACTTGATACAGAATTAATAGAAGTCTGTTCTGATTTAAAAGAATTCAGACAAAACATTTATTTTTATTTTTCTGCTAAATTCATTCATAATGCATAATGCAGTTAGATGCTTCTCGTTAGTTTTAATAAACAAAATCCTATGATTATTTTCCTGATGTTGCCATAGCAGTGTTAGATACAATAATATAGAAAGATATATATCTTCATCATATATGCTAATCTACTCCTACTCCTGACATTGTTCTGGCTTTCTGTTTTAATCAAGCAGTATGCTAAGTAAGTGCTAATTAAATCTTTGGGATCATGTGATAGTAAGACTTTTTTTAAAAAAAAATGAAATATGTGGCTATAATTCTCACTGTGAAGGTTAGTTATTCATTTCCTTTTAATACATTTTAAGTGAAATTCAATAAATTAATCAGTAGCATTTTCAAAGTCAGATATGCATAAGATCTGCTATATGTTTGCAACTCATAGCTTAGAAAATATATTTTTCATTTAAATAGTTAATAGATAACTCCTAGCTCTACTATTAAGAGTAATGTGCTTAGCTAAGATTACAATTCTTAGATACAGTCTGTTGTGCATGAGATTATGAAAAAGTAAACTGTTATCTTGGATTGTAAATGAAGGGGAGGAACAGAATGCACAATTCAGCAGTCCCCAGGATGTTTGCAGTTTGCATATAAAATAAGTGTATTTGTCTATCCAGTACTATAGCTTGTTAGAGTTTTAACTTCAACAATGCTTTAACTGTGTGTAAGACAGGTGCACTATAATTTAGGGGTGTATTATACAAGTGCTATTCCCCAGCTTTCTCTTGTAGACATTGTTTTAAGCAGGTTTTATAGGACCATAAAATACTTTGATACAGACATTTGCAAGTGTACTGGATTTCTAAGCAGCTGTTCACTTTTTCTATTTTTCTGTGGGGAAGCATTTTAGGAAAGTTCCTTTGCACGTATTTAAATGGCAAAATGGTTCTGTAATTGTTCATTCAGGTTGTTAATTATAATGACTTTCCCAAGTGAGCATCTTGCTGATTGAATACTGTGTCTGGCCACTGGATGCTCTGAATATTTAACTGATGATAGTGAATTTTCAGTTTATGGTCTCATTAATATAAAAGATCTCAAAATTGATTTACTTTGTCCTAAGTACAGATATAGCAAAACAAATTCAAATAGTCGTAAAATCTAGTAATTAAAATACATTTTTTTTTAAAAAAATTGGAAGGATATCATATGTTTTAAAAAGCCTGGCAAATTAGAACTTTGCTTAATGCCAGAATGACTGCTGTCCAGTCACATGATGCCTCAACTTGTGACCACAGTTCTGAGCTCAATTATGGTCATAAGTCAAGGACTACTTGTAAAGGAAGTAGTCCACATGCAGACAATCTTTTTGCATCCAGACACTGCATTGCCTGCGTGCTTGCTTATTAATGGCTATGGGAAGCAGTAGGAAAAATTAATGTCACACAAATGGGAAAGATGGGACTTTTTGATGTATAAATATTGGGGTGGAAAGGAGAAATTACCTTACATGTTGAGCCCTAGTGATGATGAGCACATTCTTCATCTTAGCAGCTGTTGAGATAACTTAATGCCAATATCACTCCTAGGAATCCCAAAACATGGAACTGCGCTTTACATATTACGAAGTCTGATTTCATTCTTTTTAATACAGATAGGAACTTGAAATTGTGATGTAAGATTTCGAGTACTTTGCCATTTTTGTTTGCTTAGTTTTAATAAGGTCACATTAAATTTCTGCTGGGAGGCTGCAATATATAGGGAGAGTTGTGCATTGCTCTTTTTATCTTGCTCCTAGATAACTATCATTTTCTAATATCTTGTGTTCAGTATCCAACAGAGGCTTCCAGCACAACTTCATGTCACTTATCTGAGGAGAAAATACTTGAGAATTTCTCTTTATATCCTCATCTCTAGAAAACAGATAATTTGAAAACTGACAAAATCAGTAATACACAAATGTCAAACTGTTGTTCCACTGCTAAAGTGATACAGATGTTGGCAGAACACAATGCTATACTGCATACTGACTGTTGCATTGCTGCAGAATAACATCCAGATTGACCAAGAATTTTGGGACATAAAAGTTAAGCGCATCTCATAGGCACCAGATTGTAGAAGGCTGCTTTAAATTGTGTATGTTATCGTAAGAAAACCAATGGGGCATTAAAGACTTTTTCATTTAAGACGTGACCATGTTATCCGTCAATCTGTTTTGTTTTTTGGCAGTTGGAGTTTTAAGTTAATATCATCTTAAGTGCTGATCTAATTTTGAAATGGGCAAAATTATATATTAGAAGAGTCTTTTGAGAGGCACAAATTGGATTTGTGCTACCATAAAATATTTTCCACTGTCCATTTCATAATAGTCAATTAATATCGATAATATTGTAATTGAGAGCTCATATTTACAACATTTAAATATATAGCAAGAATAATCCTTATTACTAACAAGAAAAAGCAGATATTGTTTTTGCTTTCTTTTATTTGGGTGAAGAATGATAGAAAACAGTTGTTTCTTATAAAGGATAAATTGGATTTTGGAAAAACAAGCAATCAACAATAAACAACAATGGAGAGAATGATAGCTTCTATTGCCTTTAGCAAGAAAATTGCTGCAAAACTTTCTCTTAAATTAGGCACATAGCTCTAATTTAAATGTGCATGGCTTCCAGTTGTAAACCTTAATAATACATTATCTCCTTTTTAGAGATAAAGTTAATGACTTGTGTTACATTCCTGACAGAGGCAAATAATTTCCTAATTTTATTTTATTTTTATTTTTTTAAAAAAGCACATCTCTTGATTTTAAAAAAACACTCTCTTGATTTTGGGCAAGCTTTTGTGCTATTACTGGTCTTTGCTGTGTACTAAAGCCCAAATAAACTTTAATGGAATACACTTGGAGTAAGGATCCCTTTAATTTATGGAGGCCTAATGAAGTGCTTGGAATATTTCAATTTTCATTATAAATATATGATTTTTCATTTATGAAAAATGAATTCAGTGGTAGAAAAATACAATATTTGTATTGTAAGAACAAAAAATGCCCATTGCAGACAATGAGCTTAGTTAATGACAAAGGTGATTCACTTAACAACCACCACAAAAAAAGTTGTGTAATGGGTCAGTCACATGATGCCTCGCTTAATGACTGGTACAGCTTAATGACCGTAATTCCAGGCTCAATTACGATTGTAAGTTGAGGACTACCTGCATATCTAATAAACAGTACTAACCACATACATTTAAATGCAAATTCTGTTTGGAATTGAGTATTTACCTATAGCAAAATTGAAGAAATGATTTTGTTCACAGTCCATTCAGAAAGAGACACGAGAGAATCCTGCAATTTTGCTTTTGACCTTCACAAATTATGGATAACAATTAAAAACATGGATATAGCAATTATTCATTTGCCTATTGAACAATATGTACAATTACCAAGAAGCATTGGAATATTGAACAATTAAATGGCTTAAATCCCCACGATGTAAAAAATGAATTAAATCACTACAATGTAAAAAAGATACTGAGATTCTAGAAAGAGTACAGAGAAGAGCAACAACAATGATCAGGGGACTGGAGACTAAAACATATAAAGAACAGTTGCTGGAATTGGTTATGTCTAGTTTAATAAAAAGAAGGACTAGGGGTGACATGATGGCAGTGTTCCAATATCTCAGGGGTTGCCACAAAGAACGGGGAGTCAGGCTATTCTCCAAAGCACCTGAAGGCAGGACAAGAAGCAATGGATGGAAGCTAATCAGAGAGAGAAGCAACCTAGAACTAAGGAGAAACTTCCTGACAGTTAGAAGAATTAACCAGTGGAACAACCTGCCTCCAGAAGTGGTGAATGCTCCAACACTGGAAGTTTTTAAGAAGAGACTGGGCAGCCATTTGTCTGAAATGGTATAGGGTTTCCTGCCTGAGCAAGGGGTTAAACTTTTCTCAGATTAACATCCAAAATTGGGGATGGGGGATTTTTCTTTCCGAACACATGTAACCACATACTGTGGTTGCTTTTTTGTTTAACTATGAATAATTTCTAGTAGCATGATTATTCCATTACTAACTATTCCAATATATCACTTATTGTGTATGAAAGAAAGTAGTAGCAGCAGTGCCATCATTTACAAGAACACAATCATTCCAATCTTAAGTTAGTTACCATAGCTTGAGGGCAACTAAGTGAGTGTCCTGTATAATCTCACTTAACCTGGTTTCTGTCTATCGCACATAGGTTGTGAAGTGAAATAGAAATAATAAACTTGTAATGGAACATTTTGTATAAATACTCCCAAATTAATACATATGTATAAATGTATATATTGTTCATTTCCCCCTTAGATGAATGCACTAGACACCCTTGGACAGACTCCTTTGCACAGAGCTGCTTTGGCAGGTCACTTGCAGACATGTCGCCTCCTGTTGAATTATGGTTCCGACCCCTCCATCATCTCCTTACAAGGTTTCACAGCAGCACAAATGGGCAATGAAGCAGTGCAGCAGATACTGAATGGTAGGTATTTTTGTTACTTGACAACAGAAGGATAATTCTGATTTTCAGAAGAAAGTCTGGTTCTAATTTTAGATTTTTGAAATTCATTTTAATTATTTAGCTCTGCAGTTCTGCAAAATTAGCAGTTTAAAAGTGCAAAAAAATAACTTTAAAATAAAAATATGAGTCAATTGGAGGGCCTTAATTTCTCTTTTCATAAATCTGCTTATGTCCCTCAACGTTTATTAAACAAAAAAATAACATTAAAAATCTGGAGAGAAAATGTGCATGACTGTTTTCTACTGCCTGCTATTTTCTGCTACATAAACTTAGTGGGACTTAATTTGTCTTTTTCATAAATTTGCTCATGTCCCTCATCTTTTATTATTAAATAACAAAATAACAATAAACATCTGGACAGAAAATGTGTGTGTCTGTTTCCTACAGCTTGCCATTTCCGGCTATTGTCCTTATTAAATGCATGGTTCTGATTATATGATAGACGGATACAAGAAAAGAGGCAATCAAATGAACTGTTCTAGTCTTAAGATTATTACAGAATTTGAGCTGAGAAGTTTTTGTAGACTGCATGTTAAGCACGTAGTGATGCATTTAATCACTGTGATGAAATTGACTAAGGTATACCTGAGACAAAATGTTTTTTATTTTGAATTAGAGGTCTTGTTCATTACATTTGGATGGTCCTATTGTGGTTATTACTGCACTGTTTTATCTGTCCTAAGAAAAAGGAACCACCTGTACTATATTTTTCAACAAAATGTATACTCACACAACTTTATCCAAAAGTGCCCGACCATTCAGTCCACTACAGCACAAGCTATGAAAAAGATAAAACTGCTAGATATAAAAAAGACATCTCAAAAACAATCAACAGACCATTGCAACCACACGACATCAGTATAGCACAGAAACAAACCAACCAAAGCCCTTCAAAACATCTTAATTAACCCTAAAGAACTGGTAGCCCAAAAAGGAAAAAAAGGGAGTCATCTACAATATACTATGTAGGACTTCTGGGAGGAAGATTAGCAGAAGGCATCCATGAACACCAACTAGCAGTCAGAAGACACAGTGAAAAGTCCTTAATCTCACAACACATGGCCAGATTCAACCATAGTTTCAACTGGGAAATCGTGAACATACTAGACCAAATGAAATCTAAAAATGCTAGGGAATTCCTGGATGCTTGACATTCAGACAAATTGGCTATCAAAAGGCTATCACATTTACAGACCATTCAAAAGGGACAATAAAAAGCTAAGAAGGAAACAAAAAAGACCAGAAACCATCCTTTCCAGCAACCAACATCCCGATAAACAGGGATTAATACTAGACAAACAAGCAGGAAACAATCTCTAATTAAGGAACTACCATGGAGAAAATCATATCTCCACCAACACTGGCCAACCAAACTACTTTATATAAACAGGGAGCAAAACCCACACTCACTAGCCCTGAAGGTGTTACCTAGTCAAATATTGAAACATCTGCAAGCAAACAACTTTCCTCAGCACCACAGTTCAACCCTGGGCTACGTATATTCCCTTCTGTTGGAACTAGTAAAAAGAATTCAAAGTAAAAATGATTCAGTTTAATTGGGGTGAAACAAACGAAGGAATTTGATTGCTTGTTGTCTCCAGGGAGGGTGTGAAGTTATTGTTTCTACTCTTCGTATATTGGGTTTTTATTTTTTGGAAGCCTCCTAGAGTTACTGAAAGTCAATGAGCAGCCATATAAATTCTCTAAATCAAATAAAAGACCAGCTTTCTTCCAGGTCCAATTCAAGGTGCTCATTTTCAACCTTTAAAATCCTTCATGACATGGGACTGGGCTATCTGAGGGACTGCCTCTCCCTGGTTATATCAGCCTGTCTCATTAGATCTGACAGAGAGGCATGCTGTAGGTGTCATCTACTATGAACTTGCATTTGGTGCATCCCAGGAGATGTGATTTCTGTGATGTGGCATCTGCCTTATGGAACATTCTTTCTCCTTAAATTAGATTAGCTCCATCCCTTTTGACATACCAGAAGGCCTTCAGCACTTGGTTATGTTACCAACCTGTGGGTCCTGAGTTACTACAGACATGCTTAGGTGTTGAGCTGGTTATTCTTATCCTGTCTTCACCTAGGATTTATGAACCTATGTTTTTTATAATATTTACTTTTTAAGATTATTTGTATATTTTTTTTATATTTGCTTTTATATGTGGTTTTACCCATTTGTTATACATCAACTAGAGTCGACTTGGGTGAAATGGGTGACTGTATAAATTAGATAAATAAAATGGCAGAAGGAGCATTTTAGAGTTTTGAAAGTATAATTGTGCTATATCAAAGAGTAAAACTCAACAAGTGTCCAAGAAAAATTTTTTATCACAAAGTCATAATTGCTGTGAGAATGTTCAAAATTGGTAAGGTTGTAATTATAAATATTAATTATAACTGGAGAAATATTAAAATATGAATGAGCTTGCCTTATCAAGAGGCTGTGGGATATTGCTATGTGTATGTGAAGAATGTGTCTGTGTCTGACAATTAGAAGAATGTGATTCTTGTTTTACTATACAGAGGAAACAGTGTGAATGCAAAAACTACAAGAGATTAGTTTAAGTTTGTCTAGGAAGTATTTAATAGAATGCTGATTACAAGAGTGTGAGAGGTGCTAATGAACAAAAATTGGGAATGCAATGTGTAAATCTCCAATTTATACATTTTCCTACAGGTGTAGTATAATGAATTATATTGTTGTAAACTAGATGTAATTACTTTTCCTTCTTTTTTTCAAATGTCATGCCCTTCATTTCTTAAGTTGCCGTTGTCCATCTGAAAAGGAATGACATGGTTGGTACATATATATGCACATAGAGTTAAGTGTTTTAAATATTAGTAAATTAGCACTATTAAGTCTTTTAATGATACTTACTTTGATCTACAATATTGGGACTGATGCTAAATCCATGAATTTATGCAAGGGTTGAGATTTGAATTGAGAATGTTCATATTTGTAGCTCAGTTATAATCACAATGCTAGAAAGAATATGCTGTTATTCTGAGTGTTAATAATAGTTTCTAACCTAAATATATCCTATAAAACTACAATGCTTACTGTTTTTTTTTTATCTTTAAATAGAAAATACTCCAATACATACCTCTGATGTAGATTATAGACTGTTGGAAGCATCTAAAGCTGGAGATTTAGAAACTGTAAAGGTATGTTGGAATTTAAGGATTATAAGAAATTTAAGATAAATATAGCCATTTTTAATATAATGAGGAAAAAGTATTTTGCAATGATAGTCTGCAGTGGACATTGGACTTACATTCTTCTGTCCTACAATTTTTAGGTTGTTAGAATGTTAATTTGTATTGCATTCCTACCTAATACCCTGATTAGTCTTAATTGTGCTTAACTGTAAGTTTAAGTTAGTTTTGTTTTAAAAGCAGAAATAATTAACTACAATGCTTCATTTTGGGATAAAATGATAAACCATAATTAATGAAAACAGGAAAATCAAGCTTAGGAGAGAATAATATTTTGTGCTAAAACAGATTTTGACATTAAATATATATGTAATAGTTAATATTATGAAAAGTAATATTGGGTTTGAATCTTTCCTAACTGAAAAATATCCTGCTCTTGAATAAATGCTGTTTAATTGAAGCTGAAATAGAACCATGAAAAATTTACTTTTAGCAAATTAAATTTAACAGTAGTTCTTTTTAATGTAATAAAATATAGAATTGAATTACACATTATTCTTTTTAATAAGATCCATAACTATATTGAAAGAGGTTTCTGTAATAGTACCCCATATATTTATGAGGTATTCTACTTCCATATTTGGACACTTTTCTGACCATATTAGTCTTATTTCACCATTTTGGATAATTCTACATCTCCCTGCTGCTCTCAGATGCCAATTCTGCTGCCACATACAATGTTGCCAGATTCTATGCAGCAGCACTTAAAATATGCCAGAAGATAAAATGTGCCACAAATCAGTTTTATTATAGAGCGTTTTGTATTCGATTTATTATATTATTTGTTTAGCTAGATTTTATATTATTTGTTTGGATAGATTTAGTTTGCCGTGTTTTTTTATGTCCATATATTGTTTTTAACCATCCTGTTAGATCATTAGTGGAACTACAGATTTTAAATAGTTTCCTATAAGACTCCAAATGATTAATTTTTCTAAGTAAAAATAAAAGATGACATATTGATTGATTCCCACTTCTTTGCACTACTTTGTGTCAAATTCAAAAGTGCTATGTTAGGTTCACATTGTTTTTTTTTATTTCTGGAAAATAACCTGTAATGGAATCTTAATTATTTTATTGTAAGATAACTTGTACCCAGAGACTTAGTTATTTTTTAGATTGCCCAGGGATCTTTATTATTCTTACTATAATGTCTTGAGATATGGAAGACTATTTGAAATGTCTGTGGTGAATTCTACTATGGATGTTTTCCTTTCTCATTTTTACATAGCAACTATGCAGTTCGCAGAATGTGAATTGTAGAGATTTGGAGGGACGTCATTCAACCCCATTGCACTTTGCTGCAGGTTATAATCGAGTTTCAGTAGTTGAATACTTGCTTCATCATGGAGCAGATGTACATGCAAAGGATAAAGGGTAATTGTGACCATGCAATTTACTGTTTTATGTATGGGTAGATCGCGATGGGTCGGACACGACTTCGCAATTAACAACAACAAAGAATGAACTCTTTCTCATCTTTGAAAACTTCCTTGGTCTATCTTATCTTGTAAAATACATGATTTCTTCCCTTGGTATACTAGTTCCAGCAATATCGGCTCATTAAAACCTTGGCCGTATTCAAGCAGAGGATCAGGACATCTAATCTGACTGAGCCAGTATCTATGAGAGCCATTTCTTGCCTAGTTAAAGCACCAGACTAGAAACCAGGAGACTGTGAATTCTAGTCCCACCTTAGGCATGAAAGTCAGGCTGGTGATTTTGGACCAATCGCTCTCTCTCAGCCCAGCTCACTTCATAAGGTTGTTGTTGTGGGGAAAACAGGATGAGGAAGAAGTATTAGGTGTCTTCATCACCTTGAATTATTTATAAAATTAATAAAGGTGGGATAAAAAAATAAATAATAAAATTTGCCATCTGTGCTGTGATGCAATTTCCCCTTCATCTTGGACTATCTCTAGATGCATTTTAAACATTTTATAAGACATATGTGTCAGATATACTGGCCTTCCTAACAAAAATCATAGTAATGTATGTTCTAAATTGTTTCAGGCCTGTCTTACATTATCATTCTTATTTATCTGTCTGTCATCCATTCATCTGTCCAACCATCCTCCAGTAGTTGTTGTATTTTTATAATTTCCTCCAGATCCATAAAAGTTTACAAAACAAACACTGGTGTAGTGATTAAAATACTGGCATAGAAGCCAGAAGACTGAGTTCTAGTTCTGCCTTAGGCAAGAAAGCCAGATGACTGATCTTGGGCCAGTCAATCTTTTTTAGCCCAACCCAGACCCAGGGTGGTAGTTGTGGGGAAAATAGGAGGTGGAAGGACTGTTAAATATGTTCACCACCATGAGTTATTATTTTTAAAAAATAATAAAGGCAGGATATAAATAAATGGATCTCTTTTGTTTCTATGTTTGCTTCCTTGTCCTTTAGGTGCAGTTTAAAGATTTTTTCATCTATTGTGTTTCTTTTATAGCCAAAAAAGAAAAACAGTAGATTAAATTCACATCTGTTTAATCTTGCTCAATATTAATGTGTGCAGAAACGGAGATTGCCGTCCCTCCATCTTGGTCATTTCAGCCTTACCCTTGCAGTGATATCATTAGATTATTGCCACATTTCTCACACTTACGAAAGTTGATTTCTAGATGCAGACACTTTATAACTTCAGTTAAAATAATTTGACTAAAATAGAAAAGCAAGATGGCAATTATTTTGAAGGATAACTATTTTTTTTGCTTTTAAATCTTAATAAATACTCTTAATTTTTTTTAACTTATCAGTGGATTAGTACCTCTACATAACGCTTGTTCGTATGGACACTATGAAGTTGCAGAGTTATTAGTGCGACATGGAGCTTCTGTCAACGTTGCTGATTTATGGAAGTTTACACCACTACATGAAGCAGCAGCAAAGGGAAAATATGAAATCTGCAAGCTCCTCCTCAAAGTATGTACTTTAAATTGTTTTTTTTAAGAGTCTTTGTTTACTTCAGACTATGACACATAATAATATATGCAGCAATTCGGTGTAATTTTCTTCCGAATAGAACTCTTCTTAGGATAATAATAAACATTTTTATTGTTTTTTTTAAGAAAGGCATTGTACTCTAAGTTTAGATTGCAGTATAGCTACAAATTAAAGTATCTCTGCAAAGGAATAGTTTGCATGTGCGCTGATCTGTTCAGTCGATCAGCTGCATATCAATGCTGGTTTGTAATCTGCTGCAAAACTATTAGTAGCAATTAGGATACAATGATGCCAGTAAATTTGTCAGATTGGAGAGACAGAGAAGCGAAGCTGGCTTCAGTCTGCCATTGCCACTGCTTATACAGAACCACACATAAAAGTTAAATATTATACCTGGTTGCCATAATATGAGTTACCAGAACGTGATGTCATGACATCAGGAAGTAATTCTGTGATGTTAAGAGTATCAACCAAAATAAATATTCAGGAACACACAGACATAGCTTCGTTTTATACTTTCATCCCCTGGCTCTAAAGGAACCGATATATCCATGAAACATTTATTTGGAAATCCTTGGACATCCTTACTCAAAAGCATTTCTCAGAGGAGGAATACCAGTTACCGTGTTTCCCCAAAAGTAAGGCCCGGTCTTATATTTTTTTTGCTTCCAAAAGAGGCACTAGGTCTTAATTTCGGAGAATGTCTTACTTTAGGACCACCACAACCAGGCCTCCCACCCCCCCTGACACCTATCACGCCACTGCTTGATTTCTTCTGCTGCCCCTTGCAGCCGGACGCCATGTCGCGCATTGCACCGTTGCCGCTCCTCCTGGCAGGATGCCACATGGTACTTTCCGCCGTTTCTGCTCCTAGCGGCAGGATGCTGCGTGGCTCTTTGGGGCATTTCCACAGCGAAAACAGCCTGAAGCACCATGTGGCCTCCTGCCACGAGCAACAGAAGCGGCGCAAAGCACTCAAGCAAAAGAAGCGGTGCGAAGCGCTCAAGCAACAGAAGTGGCCTGAAGCACTGCCCAAGCAGCAGAAGTGGCCTGAGGCATGCGAGCAATGGAAGCGGCCTGAAGTGCCATGCAGTGTCCTGCCAGGAGGAGTGGCAACGGTGCAGTGTGCCACATGGCGGCTGGCTACAAGTGGCGGCAAGCGGCCACAGAAGAAGTAGCAGCACGACAGGTGTCGGGGTGTGGGAGGCTTGGCTGTGGTGTCCTACCGGTAAGGTAATTGGGTGCGAGGCGTGTGGGTCAGCTTCACACCCCTACCCCTGCCCTAGCTTGATTTTTAGGGGTGCACTTCACCCCAAAACTAGGGCTTAGTTTCGGAGTAGGGCTTATATTAGGCCCACCACCAAATATCAAGCTAGGGCTTACTATCGGGCTGGGTCTAACTTTTGGGGAAACACGCTAGGTCAAAAACCAACTGCCACCTAGCAGCAATGCTTAGAAATGCACGGGTCCTAAGAGAGGCTTTAAAAAGAATTGCCCGCATGGTGATGCTGAGGCTGGAGAGTTGATGGCTAGAGACTTCTCTTCCTTGGGCTTTATATCTCAGTCATGGAACCTTCTTTTGGAGTAGTGATTACATAATTCCTGTGGCCACCAAAGGCGATAAAAGCCATAGCTTCTGATTGAGGTCAAAGTAAAAAATCATTTCTTTGTTTTCCTTAGCCTGAAACACCCCTCTGCAGCACACACCTGCGTTTATGCCTAGCTTTTCAAAGAAGTGCTGAGTAATTTAGAGTAATTTGAGCATGCATAAATTAGAGTCATCATGTAATTTCTGCACGAATTGGACTAAAGCTTCTGCCCTGTAGAAATTACAGGTAATCCTTCACTTATGACAATTGAAACCAGAATTTCCACTGCTAAGCAAGATGGTTGTTAAGTGAGTCGTGCACAGTTTTATTATCTTTTTACCCTGGTTGTTAAGCAAATCACTGCAGTTGTTATGTGAACCCTGCAGTCATTAAGCAAATCTGGTTTCCCTCATTGGCTGTCAGTCAGAAGCTGGCTGGGAAGGTCACAGATGGCGATCATCTGTTGCTGCAACATTGCAACCATCGTAAATATGTTGCCAATTTTGATCGTGACCGTGGGGATGCTGTGATGGTTTTAAGTGTGAGAAATGGTTGCAAGTCACTTTTTTCAGTCACTGTAATTTTGAACAGTCACTAAATGAATGGTTGTAAGTAGAGGACTAACTGTAATTGCCTGCAGAGACAACCATTGTGGGGCACATTTTCAAAGAAAGATACGATTCTCAGCATATTTTTGTCCTTTGGAGAATGAATCAGAAGGGTGTGAAATGAAATCTGCTCAAAGTTAGGTATTAGTTATAGCATGATATTTGTTTATACCTTCTTTTAAATTTGGAAAATCTGTTCTTAAAACAGGTGTCTTGCTTGCTTATACTATTTTTAAAGCACCTTGATAGTCCTCCTGTATATCATGCTAAAACATAAATAGCATGGTGCTATGTTTGGTGGCATGGAGGATAAAGTTTTCAGCTGCAAAACAGTAGAAATGTTGTTTGCAGCACGGAGCAGATCCAACCAAGAAGAACAGAGATGGCAACACTCCTCTAGACTTGGTGAAAGAGGGAGACACTGATATCCAGGACCTGCTGCGAGGTGACGCTGCGCTGCTGGATGCTGCTAAAAAGGGCTGCCTGGCACGAGTTCAGAAATTATGCTCTCCAGAAAACATCAATTGCCGTGACACCCAGGGACGAAACTCCACCCCATTACATCTTGCTGGTAAGTGAGGGATTGGGTTAATTTATTCATAGGAAATCCTCATTGGAACAGATTTAAGAAACTTTTAAAAGTATGTATTTCTAACAATTTCTTATGGTATTTGGTCTACAATTCCTTCATTGCTGAGTTTTGACTCACGCTGTATTTCTTTTTACACATAGCTGGTTACAATAATTTAGAAGTTGCTGAGTATCTTCTAGAGCATGGTGCTGATGTTAACGCTCAAGACAAGGGAGGATTAATTCCACTACATAATGCAGCATCCTATGGGGTAAGCATTAATAATCTCAGTGTAGTCAAGACGTACAACTTGCATTACACTAACAAGTATAAAACAAGTGGAAGAAACGAGGGTAACCAAATGACAGCATAAAATTGATTGTATTTCAGTCTTCTACAAAATGTTGCTAAAATATGTACAAGGGGAATCGTAAGATTTGTACCAGTTGACAAAAATATTTGTAACTCAGGGTTGAATTGAAGTCATTGGCGCTCTCTGAGCTTGGTTGTTTTCTTGCAGACTAGGTTACAGAACAACTAGGTTACAGAACAAACTATTTATATATAAACAGAGAGCAAACCCCATTCCCTTCTAGCACTGATGATTCCACTTACTTGGATAATGAAATTTCTGCAAGAAAACAACCAAGTTCAGAGACCACCAAGAACCCCACAGTATAAGATTTGTCTTGCTACTTGTTTTAAAAAATAATTTCAATATCATGTTATCTCTTGGTATATATTTTTCTATTGTGAAAACCAAGACTAGATTAAATGATGTATGGATCAAAAGTCGTATCTTCTGTTTTTTTCTTAGTTGTAATTGGTGTTAGCTTTTTTCAGTTTCTGCATAAAAAAATAAAAATGACAAATGCATCTCCCATATTAAGGAAGCTTAGATCATTGAAGAACTGAAGGAGTTGTATATTTCACCTACTGGCTAACTAGTGTGTTTCTTGCTCATAGATCTCTTTGTATAAAACTATCTAATTAAAAACATAAATTATTATGTTTTCAGTGCTGAATACATCCAGCTTTGTCATAGCTTTGAATGCACAACAAATCATTTAACAATGTTTGCTTTTCTCTTTTTAAATTGAGAATTCTTCCTATTTTTTTTTTCATTTTTCCTCAGCATGTGGATATAGCAGCTCTATTGATTAAGTATAATACCTGTGTAAATGCTACAGATAAATGGGCATTTACGCCATTGCATGAAGCAGCACAAAAAGGAAGGACGCAACTCTGTGCTCTACTTCTAGCTCATGGAGCAGATCCAACAATGAAGAATCAAGAAGGCCAAACACCTTTGGATCTTGCCACAGTAAGTTGGTTTGGTTTGGTTTTAAAAAATAATGACTCTTATTTCAATATTTAGATCAGTTGACTACAACGGATAGTCATTTATTTCCTTCATTGAACAATTAATATAGGGAAACATCTCAGTAAACGTACGGAAATGGATTTGACCTGAATTTATTCCTTTAAAAATTTTGAGGAGCTAAGGCTATGTGTATAGTATGCTCATCCAGTGAGCAATAAAGAACATCACACAATTTCTTATACCACATTGGTTCAATATTTATTGGATGTTTGTTAAGGCAGGTTAAGGAAGTATTTTTGTTTTGTGCAGATTGAATGCCTGATTTTTTAATCCATTGCTTCATTCATACAACTTATAGTCTGTATTGTGGTTGCAAGTATTATTCAATAAATTGCTTTATTCCTTTCATTTCTATTGCTTGAACTTTATCTGTAACATCCAAAATGAAATATGTATTTTTGAAATGCTTCGCATATGTGGACACCTAAAAAATTTTATGTACAGAGTACATAAAAGAGAACTGTCTGGGGGTAAACTATTTTGTAATATTTCAAAGTGTTGTGGAAAGTAAATGCCTTTCTAGCTCTATGTTACTGTTCCAAAGATTGATGACTTGAATATTTGGAAATATTCAAATGTTCTTTGAATATTTGCTTTTGAGTATAGAAGATAGTTATCTGTTTAAACAATTTCTTTAAAAATGATTGGTTTTGGTTTTATTTTTTAAAACACTGTTTTATTTTCAGGCTGACGATATCAGAGCCTTGCTTACTGATGCAATGCCTCCTGAAGCCTTGCCAACATGCTTTAAACCTCAAGCCACTGTTGTTAGTGCCTCAGTCATTTCACCAGCATCCACCCCATCCTGTCTGTCTGCTGCCAGCAGTATAGATAACCTTGCAGGACCTCTGGCTGAAATTGCAGTGGCCGGCGCATCTAATGCTGGAGATGGGGCAACAGGAACAGAGAGGAAAGAAGGAGAAGGTACTCTTCCCGATTATAGGAAATTGCCAAAGTCACAGTCCTAAATATGCATAATGGGAAATCATCTTTCATCCGAATTTTTGAGGAAATAAGTCTAAGGTCCTGTTTAGATCATGACCTCTAAAGCTTTGTCGGGGGGGGGGGATCTTAACACTTAAAGAAATAGATAAAACAGATTTTCCCTTTGGAATAACTGTTTTTCTGGACTTTGTCTTTTTATTTGGGACTTTAAATTAGTGAACATATAGATATTTGGTCTTTGTATATAAACTTGATTGGTATAAGGCAGGGGTAGGCAACCTTGGCTCTTTTATGACTCGTGGACTTCCCCAGAATTCCTGAGCCAAACATGCTGAGGGGACAGGCAGAGGTTTCCAAGCTGAGCCATGCTGGCTCAGGAATTCTGGGAGTTGAAGTCCACGAGTCATAAAAGAGCCAAGGTTGCCTACCCCGGGTATAAGGCATATATAAAATTATAGTCAAAATTGTAAAAACTGTAGGTTGATGGATGTTTGGAGGGAGAAATATCTTTTGGTGTTTGTTACGTTACCAACCAGCATGAGTAGATTACTCATTTAAGTTATATAACATTAGAGAAGGAGGAGGTGGATAGAGCAGAGAAAATGGAATGTGCAGATGGTAACTTTATCTGCCACATGTAGCCCCTTAATGCTCACCAAAAGAGAAGATTTTATTAATAATGAGAATTCATACTATTTTCCATAAAAAAAATCCCATACATTTTGCCTCTATGTCTCTTGTTTATTCTTTACTTTTTTTTCTACCAGTAGTAAATATTTGTTTTCTTGTAGAAGATGCAATAAGAGGAAATATTTCAGATTGAAAAGATTACAGTTAAAGGACTAAGGATTTAAATGGAAGTTTGGTGGATAGTTTTTATTGGTGACTTACATGAAGGATATTTTTGTTGCAGTTGTTGGTCTTGACATGAATATCAGCCAGTTCTTGAAAAGCTTGGGTCTGGAGCATCTCCGGGATATATTTGAAACGGAACAGGTAAAAATGGTCCTAAGCTAGCGTTGCATTTATTCTTCTATTTCAGTTCAATAATGTGCATGAAATGGAAAAATATGATGGCTAGCATCCAAAGAGCCTCATAGCTAAGTTTTCTGTCAGAGAGCTTTGGTTTTTTATTTCTAAAGCAACCACCTGATATACTTTATGGTAAATTGACTTTCAAATAAAGCAGATGGTAATATGGTATGAATTCTGCTTTTGTACGAATTTTAAAAAAGCTAAATGAGAAGTTATCTGGAATCAACTATTTGATGAAATTCAGTTTTACTTAAGCTGAGCAAAGCAGTTCAATCAGTTTATTTTTTCTTCAGCCCTATTGCCCTCTTTAAAAAAATTCCAGGTATCAACATCTTGTATTGTATAGCATTAGTTCAACTTTGTTTCTTCTCATTTCAATTAATGTGCAAATAATTTGTCTAAGTTCTATCTTAAAAACAAAAAAAAGGAATAAATCTTGGTGCTTATGTTAATTGCCTAGCATTTTTCCATCCATTTCTTCAGCAAAGGAAGTTCAAATTACTTTTTTTTTAAACCCAACGCAAACATGAATAAGTATGTCCCCATTTCTGCTCTCTGTAATTATTCTCTATGCTTGGGGGCATGAAACTCATATTATGCTGAAAGTTGAAGAGAGAGAGAAAAATGTTTGGTGCTTGCTACCAGTTATTCTTCTCCTGTTTTCAGCTGCTCCGTGTACAATTTCTCTGACCAGCCAGCTGGGCCCTTAATCTTCCTAGAATCCCTTCCCCATCCCTACTTAAAATATATTTATGCTGGCTTTCCTAGGTTCAAGATGACTAATGAAAAATGCTACTTTTTCCTTCTGTTTGTGCTATTCAGATTACCTTGGATGTACTAGCAGACATGGGTCATGAGGAGTTGAAAGAAATTGGCATCAATGCCTATGGGCATCGTCATAAGTTAATAAAAGGTGTAGAGAGGCTTCTAGGTGGGCAACAGGGTAAGTCTGCTTTAAATCTAGCAATTTTTAAATGATGGCAGTGGACAGTACTCCATCAGTCCTAGTTTTATAGTTGGTTCTTCTTGGTGAATATATGTGCATACAAGTTTAACATATTTTCCTTTTCAGGTACCAATCCTTATCTGACTTTTCACTGTGTCAGCCAAGGGACAATTCTTATAGATCTTGCTCCTGATGATAAAGAATACCAATCTGTAGAAGAGGAGGTAAAAAAAATCAATTTTAAATAGTCTTAAGATAGGTCTTTGAATATAACACAATTGTTTCTTTGTTTGCAAGCATTTCTGTACTATGCAACGCCCAGGTAGTCAAGTAATGTTAGTTAACATAGTGGAATTTTGTACATATGCAGTTTACTTTGCAGAAGACATGAAAAACCCTTAATTTCACAAAACATGGACAGATCTAATCATGTTTCAGAGGTAGGAAACTGAACATCCTAGAGCAAGCTAAATCCAAAAAAATGCTAGGGAATTCCTGGATGCTTGACATTCAGACAAATCAGCCATCAAGAGGCACATAGAGGTAAACCACATTTACATACCATTCAATAGAGACAGAAAAAACCTAAAGAGGAAACAAAAGCAATCAACACCCTGATAAGCAGGGATTAACATATAATAATAATAATAGACAAACAAGCAGGAAACAGCAGCGTGACCAAGGAACTAAGAAGGAGAAAGCAACAACTCATCAACATTGACAGGGCAAGCTACTATATTTATTTACTAAATTTATATGCCACCCTTCTCAGTGTTACAGCAACTCTGGGTGGCTTACAGGATAATAAAAAGTAGTACAAAACAATTAAAATTAGAAAGATTAAATAAGAAACAAAAATCAAGAGGACAGATGACATAGGGATGGGAATCTTCTCTCTACCTCAACAATTACTGCCAGCCTAGAACACCCCTATAAAACTCCACTCCGTTCTAGCATTGGAGATCTAGTTGGGTAACTAAATATCTGCAAGCAGACAACCAAGGTCAAAGGGCACCAAGGACTCCACAGTTGACTACTGAGCTACAGGTATTCTCTTCTATTGGTAACGTAGTCCAGGACAGAGCAGCCAAGATATACAAAGAGTGGAAATCTAGGGTGGAGCTTTGTCACATCTTTGAGTTGCTTTCATACTAGAAAAACATTCTTTTTTCACATAGGGATATATTTTTGCTTACATGTATTCTTTGCATATTGCTAGAATGAATGCGGCATTATGGTTTATTTCAGTTCCTCTGCCTAAAAAGGCTTTGCAGTGTGAAAAGTTTAGAATTTTATGGAAGTATTACTTTCCCTCAGTCTGAAGAGATCTTATATGCCTCTTTCTATTTCCTGCACTTAAAAAGAAACCCCTATTTAGGATAGCTTGCATTCAGGGTTTCAGGCAATAGCTATCATTAAATGTCAACCGAAAGCAGATGGGGAAACTGGGAATTTCAGAAGTAGCAGACAGGGAAAAGTTTAAACCTTTTTTCCTTACATCTAGTCCCAAGCCCACTTACCCAGTGATAGTTCTGTTTAGAAGGACTTTTATCATGTGTAATTTGCTTTTTTTTTCTTCAAAATCTTTCTATGCTGATTATACATTATGTGCAGATTGAGTCTTGAGAGTTGACCAGGGGCAGAAATAAATCAGGGAATGAAGTCTTGCTATCACCGAGAGACGCCAAATTGCACAACTAGTCTCAGACAACCCAACATTTGAAAGAGTCTCTTTCTTTATGAGTCAGAAGGTGGCAGCACCCAGCCGATGTCCTCTGCACTTGTAAGCTAAGCGAAGTCACAGCCCAGGTTGGCTGGCTGCTTAGATGGGACACTTTCAAGGAATACTGAGGCCATAAGTTAAATGTGGAGGTGAAGAAACATAACAGAAACAGTGCAAACCTCTTTCTTATTGTAATCAAGAAACACACATGGATTTATACAGAGGTGTGCTGAATAGGATAATAACAAGTTTGATAATGAGGTCCCAAGGGGGTGTGAGTATTTGAGGAACACCCTAGGGAAGTTGGGCTCATGCACTGCTGCCTAGCAGCATTAATCATTCTTATCTTGCTTGACTGACTTGGTTCCAGATAAACAGCAGGACAGAGAAAGCCAGACAAACAGGATGTCTTTGTTTTTCCAGACCACCACCAAGTGAAGACTGTTCTCTCTAGCCCCTCCCCCCTCCCTTTTCCTCCCCCACAGTCTTTGATCGGAATGTCCTGGCTAATTTATTGACAGCCCATCTGTACTTGTCTATGATAAACCGAATTGAAATTGCATATTGGCAGCATGTACCTAGATTTATCCAGGAATCGTTATCAACTAAATAAGATTTTATGTTTACTGACTCTACCATTTGATTGTTTAACAGATGCAGAGCACCATCAGGGAACACAGAGATGGTGGTAATGCTGGGGGAATCTTCAACAGGTATAATGTCATTAGGGTAAGTTTCAAAGGCTTTTATATGCCTAGCTCAAAAATTATTGACGGAAACATCAAATCAATTGATCCCGACAGAAGGAAGTAGGGATGATACTGTGTCTTCAGCTTCTTGATTTTGAAGCTCTTTTGACTATCATCTAGGGTGGGCAAAGCATTTGAAAGAGATGCTTTACAAAGTACATTCATAATGGCCTTTTTGCTGAAAATGAATAAAAATGAACTGGTGATTTCTGGATTTACCAATGTAAAAGGGCTGTACGGGGAGAAGGGAGCTATATTATATAATTTTGAAGGGGGGAGATTGTATTAAGCAAATCTATAACTGCTGTAAAGAAAATTAGAAATAAGTATTCTTTATCCTTCTCTTTTTCTTTGCTCTCGATTGTTTCCAATACCTTCTTCTTTATCTTTCTTTTTTCTTCTGTATATGTTCATGTTTATCTTTTATCTTTGTAAAAAAAATACTTAATATAAATTATGTATATATATATAAAAGTACAAGTGCATTAGCGCAAGCAAAGCAAGTCTCTTTGAAGCACCAAAGCAACTTCACCCTTTGCATGTTTGTGCAGCTGCTGCAAAGGCTGTTCTCGCATGTCTGCATGTACATGCACAGATCCTACTTCTGTGGAGCCGGGCAGCCAAGCAAAGGCAGCTTTTGAAACAACTGCACCAGCCCTCTTGGAGGACAGCTGCTTTGTTTATACCAGGGGTCTTCAAACTTGGCAACTTTAAGACTTGTGGACTTCAACTCCCAGAATTCCTCAGCCAGCCAGGGGTGGCTGGCTGAGGAATTCTGGGAGTTGAAGTCCACAAGTCTTAAAGTTGCCAAGTTTGAAGATCCTTGATTTATGCTAACATCCACCACAGCTTGGAAGACTGCACATTTCAATCACTTTTCATCTCCCTGGTGGCTTTAAAATGTTAACTCTTAAATTATTATTTTATACAGTAAATGTAATATACATATGTACATTATGTAGATATGTAGTATATATATTTTTATTATATTTTGTATTGTCTTCTTTAACTGATCAGAATAAAAAAGGATAGGTGTATGGGGATTTTTTTTTACTTATCTACAAAGCTATCAAATTTCTAGTTCAGGTTCTCCCTCATTTTTATTTTATTTATTTTTATTTTATTTTACTTATTTCATTTCAGTTAGAATAGGAGTGCTTTTTGCCTTTGATTCTGCTGTCTTTCAAAGGGGCAGTTACAGTAGTGTTTCGTTTTCCTACTTACAAGCAATTCTGTTCTGTTCTTTCAAAATATGTGCAGTTTCGGTCAAGAACAAATATATTTCACTCCTAGTGAGCAAGTGAGCAACTTAATTTTATCCAAATTGTGGAGTTCTTAATGCTCTTGAGTTTGTTGTTTGCTTGCCGACATTTTGTTACCTGATTAGGTAACATCTTCAGTGCTAGAAGGGAGTGGGGTTTGCTCTCTCTTCTAGCACTGAAGATGTTGTCCAGTCAGGTAATGAAACATCTGCAAGCAAACAATCAAGCTTAGAGAGCACCAAGGACTCCACCATTCAACCCTGAGCGACACATATTATTTTCTCTTTATTCTCTTCTGTTTATCCCAGTTATATTCATGTAGTTAACAATCTGCTGATATGAACTTTGTAGGGAAGGATAAGCATTATATACTAGATTTGTTAAGAATACAGTAAAGATACGGTGCATAAAATACAGTTTTAAAAAGAGAAACAAATTGGAGTGATGTGATGTTCTGTGGTAAGTATGAGACTTTAGTTAAATCATATCCATTTCATAGTTCGGAGAAAAATTGAGCTACTTGAGGTTGCCTGAGATGCCTGAACTTCTGTTTGTAGGTATATTTGTGAGCCTTACTAACAGAAAACAAAGCTGTCAAAAAGAAGGAGCAAATTAAATTAGCCTTTAATTATTCTGGTCATCATTACTAAAACTTAAGTTTTTTTAAAACCACAGAATCCATTTTAAAAACGATGCAGTTTATAGAGTCATACTGACTCAGGCTTCTGTACTTTTGTCTTCATGGTGGTTTTTTTTTTTCCATTCTTCCATAGATTCAAAAGGTTGTGAATAAAAAATTAAGGGAGAGATTTTGTCATCGTCAGAAAGAAGTCTCAGAAGAAAACCATAATCATCACAATGAACGCATGTTATTTCATGGTATGTAAGGCAACCCTCTAAGATGTGTATTTGCAGTGTAACAACACTGGTTAAATGTACATAAATTGTACTTTGGTTTATTTACCATTCTGCTGTTTGATTGATTGTGGATTCTGGACTCGGCTCCAAGAAGCCAAAATGGACCTCTGGCTGATTTTTCATCCCTTATCTGTACAGGTGTGCTACTCCTCTTATAAGACTCTAGAGCATTTTCCAGCTCCTCAAAGAAATATGGAGAGGTTTATGATGAAAGGGAAGGAACATGGTAGAAAAGTCCTGCTGTGAAAGCAGTGTTCCCTTGTGGAGGCAATTCTATCATGACCAGTGTTTTGTCCAGTTTTTTTTTAAATCCCATCTCATGAAATGTGATAAAGATGCAGGTCAGGAAAAGTACAAGAGAGGCAAGCCAGGCAATCCATCCTTCTCCACAGATAGAAAAAGGAATCTGCCAGTCATTCAGAGAATCTTTAAGTGTATGTTGCTTAGCAATAAAAATGATTACGTCCCTAGATGCAATTGTGCTGCAATTGCTTCCTATTAGAAAAAAAAATCATAATCAAACCATACATCACGGCTGCTCTCTTTACTATGTGCAAGGAATTGAACAAAGATTCTCTCTTTTCTGAGAAACCCAACCCAACTTCTCCAGTACGTTTAATATTAACACATGTCAGTAAGTACTGGTGTTATCTCAACCCTTACATTAAGATAGGTTTTTCCTGTCTTTGGGAAAAAATTAAGAGTGGGAGGTACGACATTTTCCTTAAATATATGGAAATTGTTTTCTTGAAAATCCACTGAATCTTCAGAATTCAGAATTTTCTGTCAGATTTTCCTTGGTTTATATCAGGGGTTCCCAGCCTCTAGGCCAGGTGTGTCAAACTGCCAGGCTGTGGGCAGATTGCGTCATGCCGAAACCTCACCCATCCCATTGCTGGCAATGGGGGAAAAAAAGTCGCAATACGTCATGACACGTCATGTGATGTTGCGAGTTTGACACCCCTGCTCTAGGCTGTGGCCCACTAGTGGACCATGAGCTGTTTGCAATCGGGCTGCAGAAATGGCGGGTGAGCACACGTGCACTCACATCCCCATTTGTGCGAGCAGTGGGCAAGCGCATGCACATACACTCCATTTGTGTGAGAGGCAGGTTTGTGTGTACGCCACGTGCGCAAGTGGATCTTGCTTGCCAGCTGCTCATGCAAAACCATTCCCTCTTCCCCACTTGTCCACAAAACCAGAAAGGTTGGGGAACTCTGGTTTATATGATTGAACGTGGATTAATTATTTTGCTAATTTGATGTTAAGATGAAGTTACAATTCCTATAGGGCATATACATGCTTACATGCTATTTTTTGTTTTAGGCTCTCCTTTTATTAATGCTATTATCCATAAAGGATTTGATGAAAGGCATGCATACATTGGAGGGATGTTTGGAGCTGGGATTTACTTTGCAGAAAATTCCTCTAAAAGTAACCAATACGTATATGGAATTGGAGGAGGCACAGGTTGTCCTACACACAAAGATAGGTCCTGCTATATCTGCCACAGGTGAGTTCTTGATACATTGATACATCTGGAAAATCAGGCACAATGTTTCCTTAACTGAATGAATGCCAATTTAGAGGAAAAATTAGAAAAAAGACAGCACACGTTTCTTAGTTTTCTAGCTTGGAAAAATATGAATGCTGAAATACGGATACTCCATAGCCTCTAGGAGGCGTCTGCAAAGTCAAACATGGTTCAAAGAACACAAGAATAAAACACAATTTTTATTGCAACAAGTTGAAATGACAAAAATGACCCAATTGTTCTTGCAGTATGCAACTGCAATGGCTTGAGGACCAATTATTTGCAGAATGTATAGAGATTCTGCTATCACTCACTTAGCCATGCATGCATTTGTGGGGAAATTGTTAGTTTTTCTGAAGTAGCTCCTGAATTGTGATTAAAACTATAGTAACATGGTCCTAAGAGCTGATGATTAAGCAAAAAGGAAAATTTCCTCTTTTTACTGCTTTAAACAATGTTTGAGAATTGAAAATTGATAGGTTGTAAAAAAAACTTTAGATCTCTGACATTGGGGTGGTGCGTATGAAATGTTTTGCTGCAACTGGGTGCGCTTTTTAAATTATTTTCTTCCTGTCTTCTTTTAGACAGATGCTTTTTTGCCGTGTGACATTGGGAAAGTCCTTCTTGCAGTTTAGTACCATGAAAATGGCCCACGCCCCTCCAGGGCATCACTCTGTCATTGGCAGGCCAAGTGTCAATGGACTCGCCTATGCTGAGTATGTCATCTATAGAGGGGAACAGGTAGGTGGCATATTAAAATCTGTCTTCTTCATTGGCTCACTGAAATCTTTGCCCTAGGCCAGGGGTAGGCAGCTTTGGCTCTTTTATGACTCGTGGACTTCAACTCCCAGAATTCCTGAGCCAGCAATGGAGCTATGCTGGCTCAGGAATATTGGGAGTTGAAGTCCACGAGTCATAAAAGAGCCAAGGTTGCCTACCCCTGGCCTAGGCATACATTGTTAAGCATCACCAAAAGGTGGTCAGAGCTACTTCCTATTGTTAATGATAAACTGTGGTTTTAAAACTGTGACAGTTTTAAAAAAGACGCATGATTCTTTCACGCTTTACAGTGCAAACTGCCTTAAATAAGGAGTGAATGATCATTTGCTTTGGTCTTCCTGCAGGCTGCAAGACCCCAAAGCCTGTTTTAAAAGGCAGAGGCACTTTTCTCTAACACTAACAGATTTCACTATCCATAAAATGAAAAATATTTTTGAAGACACATTCAAATACTGTGCATAAAGGTCAGCCACGCCTTCATAAAAATACATTACTGTGTTTAAAAAAAGGGAAGCAGGAAATACAGCCTTATCAAAGGTTCCTATTCAGCCACTGAATTTTCCTCCAGGACAACATGTACCCATGATTTGTGGTAGACTACTGGAGCAGTACTGTACTCTGTAAAAAATAGTAGCTCCTGCCTTCAGAAGGACATCCTTAATACTTTCTGAAAATTAGAAAGTGATTTTCAAGCCGTTCTACTCATCAAAATCTAGGAAGTGCTTAATTGTTTATATTAGGGCTGATGTGTCATAACTATATCATACTTATGTCATACTACAAAAAGATCTCATTTAAGCTCATTTAAGTTTAAATGTTGATTTAGACTGTGAATTACGCTTCCAAAACTTTCATCACTTTCCACGCCATCTCCTTTGTCCAGAGGAGGAAAGGAACAAGCATGGCAGAGATCCATTTGCAAATGGATAAAAGTCCACATCAGATACACAGAGTTTGAATACTGTCTGGTGTAATTCCTACAATAGACTTAACAACAACAATACTTCTTCTCAAAAATCAGACAAAAAAATTGCTTCCATCAATTAGACATCATTGCCTCACCTACTGTGGCCTTTGCACTCCCTAGAAGTGTTCAGTGCAGTTCCTGGTAGAGTCAGTTTCTCTTCAAACAATACTTAGGAAGATATCAGATGCTGACCTTTTGCTTTTATACATCTTTTCTGCCCCATTCTAGAGTATGCCATTTTTCCCCAAATGAACAAGTGAAAAGGCAGATTTTCTGTTTGAAGCCATGGAAAAGTATCTGTTCTGCATAACGTGACAGATATTAAATGGATTGTGTTAGAAGCAAAAATATAAGAGAATTGTGGCTTCTAAGACAGAAGCAATATAAAAATTAAGTAAAATGAACTTTTTCTGTGTTTTTTAATTATTTCTGTATAACGTGCAGTAATTTGGGTGTATCTGCTTATTCGTAGGCTTACCCCGAGTATCTCATTACATACCAAATTGTAAAGCCAGATACTCCTTCACAGACAGCGGTGGCTGCGGAACAGAAGACCTAGTAGATGCTGGTTCATTGAAGTAGATTACGTGACTTATGTACTGGATGGTTGAGATTAGTTTCAAAACACCAACATTCTATGGAATTCTCATCATTCTGGAACTGCTTTATGTGTTTTATAAAGCATTGCTCTGTAAATGAATCTGAGTACCTGATCTGTACTCAGTTGCTACTATTCCTTTTGAGGAAATGTTTACAAAGATTTGCCTTTTAACATCCTTTCTCAGGCTCACTTTCCCTGCAGTTGCCATGGGTGTAATGAGAGCATCACTGCTTCAGTATGGATATATGGAAACGTAGTTTGTAGTGCTGCGCTACAACTCTTTTGAAAGAACAGCAGCGAATTCTGATGCAACAGCTGTAGTGAAGTGCAGAGCTTCTATTGAACCCATGCCATCCCCTCAGCATTCAAGGCTGGTTTTTCTTTTTAGAAGTCTTTAGTCAGTTATTTATTTTCACTTTATTCTTCTGTTACAAAAATGAGCCAGACCCTCCTTGAGGATGTTTTTGCACAAAGTCAAGTTGACTAAAATCACTTAACAATGCAACAGGAATTTCTTATCCAAGAAGGTGTTAGAGATACAGTTCTTTGGTCTGGGATTCTTTTTGCACTTTTTATGAACTCTTTTATGTTGCTAGGAACATAATTTTAAGGTAGAAGCCCTGCTTTATTCCTACCAAGTTTCTCTTTCTTTATAAGGTGTTCATACTATAGCATCCATGTAGCAGCTTCTTTGGGAAATGGTCTCTGTTCCTCTGTTTTGCTTCCTCGTGTCTAATATTCCAGTATCACGGTTTGAAATGTGTCTTAATAAAATGCATAGGAAATACTTGTTGGATGAAACTGAATAGGCACAGGATCCCAGTTTTCTCTCTGCCCTTGCTCAAGTGAAGTTGTAAGCAAGTTAGTGAAATTCCTCAAGGTCAGTTGAACTTGATATCTTCTGTTGGTATTTGTTCTGGGGCTTTTTAAAAATATTTTCATCAGATAATGAACAGCAAGGGAGCAGAGCTGTGAGTTAGAAGCCTAGTCCAATTCTACATGTGTGCGTAAAGTCCAAAAGGACCATTTTTTTCCACAAAGGGCCTATTAGACTATAAAAAGTAAGTGTAGAGCTTGCTTGAGGCCCTTTTTCCTTCAACAGGAATAACTCTTTATATTATGTCTGGATTCATTCATAGGTTGAACACAATGCAAATATCCTCCAACACCTTCCCTCCCCCCAGTAGACTAATTAGACCAGTTAGGATGGTTATATTAAGGAGTTTATATATATATTTGTATTATTGCAGAAGACTGCTACTTAGTTTCTAATTGATTTCTATCCATTAAATTCATCCCCCCCCCCAGATTTTCTTTGTGGCAATTCTACTTACATATCACCTTGTCATCATCATTAATATCAAAAATCTACCAATAAAAACAATCTCCCTCCCACCCACCCCACCCTAAAAACCCATCATTTTTAAACCGACTTTCAGGGAAAAGTAGTAATAGAGATCTATAAGTAAAATATATAATGGAGAGAGACTGCAATATTGCTTTGCAAAACCTTTGGTAATTAAAACAGCCAAAGAAAATTTGCTTGCAATATGGTTCTTATGTGGACATTTTTTTTAATTCCTTGAAAGTAAAGGTATTATAGTATGAAATCTACTGGCATCTGCTTGGAAATGGGCAACGGTCTTCTGATGAACAAAGCCACCACCAAAAATCTTCCTCCAAAGATATTTCTAATATACTGTATATTAGAAAAATATATCTAATGCATATTGGAATGATGTATAGTTTACAAAAAAAAAAATCATGTAAACATTTGTCAGATTCAGCATTTGATCCAGGAGACAAAACAAGGTAACTTGCTGTGAATCTTTCAGTTGTGCTTCTGTTGTTTGAGGTGACTCAGTCTGCCTGGGTTTCTCAGCATGTGATGAGGTAAGGCCCAAACTCACCAAGATCTAAAATAAATATCTAAGTTTGGAAAGGATCCAGATGATGAACATTCACTTAGAAACCTCTGTTTTTAAGCACAGCTCCGGGCAAAGTGCTAACTATGGTTGAATTGCAAATAGATGTGAAAAATCTACATTTTGACAACTTCACGTGGATACGAATTAGGACTCGGCTGTTTTTCATATTTAATCCAAATGGATAACATGGATGTGGAAGCCGAATGTTCTTTTTCTCCAGTAAGAGAGAATATTGATTCTGTGCTTGTCTTTTTCCACCAGTGTGATGGTTAATCTAATGAGTAATTTAAATCCTAAATTCTGAAAATCTGAAATTGCTCCTGTTTTATAACATGTTTCGTGTAGACTAAAAGGTGCTGTCCAAGGAATTCCATTTTCAGTTATTTGTGTCTTGTAGTAATGTGATTTTTGTTACTCCTTTCTGGTCAGACTTTGAAAAATATACATGCACATTTACTCAAGTCTTTGGTGATCTAAAAACCTAATAAGGGGCATCCTAAAAAAAAATTGCACACATAGCATTTAATGTCATTCAGTTAATGTCCCACATACAGGAGTTGAGGGTTGCTGCAAAGGACTTGTACACTTGATTCTGAACTATATTTCTTTGGGATAAGATTTAAACTAATATGTTCGGTAGATTATCTCTCAATATGTTCTGAATAAAAAACCTGAAAAGTGATTTGGTCATATGTGTGCCACAGTCTTCAAAGTAACAAAAGTGGTGTTAGCCTTAAATAAATTACATTTGGGGCTTCCTTCAACCCACTGGTGTAAAAAATCCCAACCACATCAAGAGATAATAAGATGCCATAAATATGGTGCCATTCATTGGTCTTGTCCCACTCTGAGAAATATGTATAGGTTGAGACTTTTTCAGACATTAAATGTGACAGGCTTAATGTCACAATACAGTGTTGGATATAACCACAGAGCATTATCTACGTGGGCTTGATTCTAGCACTTGTAACCATAATTAGGAATTTTAAGCATCCTGATCATTTGTGAAGGTTACACCTAGTACAAATAGCAGTAAATCTGCTTACAACAACATTTAGTCTTGAAAGGGATTCTACAGCCAATTCATTGATGAATATGTTTATATAATGTATGTATTTGCAACAACACATTTGTTGTATTACATGTTTAGGTACATACCTATAAATATAAATTGGTGAATAATCTGTTGAGCATTTTTTTTTAATTACAGTCCTGGGAGTTGGGAAATGGGGGTTACAGCTATGATAATGTCTTTGGTTATTTTTGATTGTCCTAATGTCACATGCCATTGTGAGGAGAGGGGGAAAGGAGGAGAGATTGGGTATGCTGATAGCTACTTTATGCTTTATTTGTTGCTGGAATTTGCAAAAAAGAAATAGATGTAGAATTTGGCTTTTTCTCTAAGATAACCATTTCATAGAAGAAACAAAGGATGGAGTGGTCTCATAGTTGCTCTCTCAGCAGACAGTCATAGAAACTGGGGGATAGAAATGGAATAAAGAGGTTTTTAAAATAGCCATCAATTGAAAAATACAGCATATTTTAAAATTTCCATCCATTAAAGCCTATGGATCCTCTGAATACATTATTCATAACTCTAAAGTGCAAAATATATTACAGCTTTGTTTAGAAGTCCCAACCAATTCAAAGATGGTACTTTATGAATATAATCTCTTAGACTATTTTTATGCAGTGTCCAAACCATGGGATATTTGGTTTCAAAAGTTTTGCATGCTTTTGATTTAAATAAGGTTCAATCTTTGTCCACAAACCTGGAAAATTCAATGCAGAGGCACTGAATCTTGGGAATGGTCGTCATTTTTATTGTAGTATAATCCTCAGCATTCTTGAATGTCTGACATTGCATCGTGGATTGCTGTCTGCCACGGTGATATTCCAAATAGTAATGGTTTTTTTTTCTTTTCTGGGACCATTATCTGTCAATGTCGGAAATGACAAATGACAATATTAAACAGATACGAGAGAAGATTTTATTGTCCAAAGATGGGCAAATGCTGTTTTTAGAATGAAGAGGCAGAATTTCCAGATTGGAATCTCCAGCAATTTCATTGGAGATCTATGAGCTGATATAATGAATGGTTATAGTGTGCAGACTTGAATTGGGGAGGATATTCAGACCAATTACTGCAGCTGCATGTTCCACACTTTTATCCATTGTAGGCCAAGCAGCAGTTCCAAGAAGGCAATTTTGAGTTGGGAAATGTCACAAAGAGAACAATTTGAAGGATTTCCTTTACTTGCAAAATGAAAAACTGGAGTGTTAGTTCATAGATCTTCCATGATACATGTTTCCGCCCTTAAGGAATCAATTGAATAAATGCAGGGATGACTCAACCAGTAGATAGAAGATTGAGATTTAAAGGACAACAAATCACCAGCTATTTGTTTTCTCTCATTATGGTGGGAGAATTTTCTGCCCTAGGCAGCAAAACATTTTCGATTCCATCTGCCTACTAAAATACTAAATTTTGTCACTGGAAAATTTGATTTTTACATACGCCTTCAACTTGATGTACATGCATGACGTCCTGATATCTCTTATTTTAATACTATTTTCTTAGCTCCTTCCTCCAAGTCACAACTGCATATTATTGTATCCTGGTGTGACTTAAGACACAACTACATAAATAATGAGCCAAATGCAGTCTGTCGAAGCATGTTCTTATGGCAGCATAAAGCACATACAAAAATGTACCATTTGAACTCTAGTTGCTGTTTACAAGAATGAAGCCAACATGCAAAGTCCACTACTGGATTCCATCACCTTGAAGGCCTGACTACACCACTACAATGATTCTTGTGATCCAAATTTCTTGCTTCGTGGGTAGCATCTGTGTATGGGGAATTGTAAATGTGGACAAAGCCACTGAGTTTGCTATCTGCAATCACGCTTTATGCTGATTTGTCTTGCAGCTATGTATGGTAGGTCATGAGGTTGCAATCTAATATGGAAGAGTTAACATTTCTAATATTTCCATACACTACATCAGGAGTCCTCAACCTTGGCAACTTTAAGACTTGTGGACGTTAACTCCCAGAATTCTGAGAGTTGAAGTCCACAAGTCTTAAAGCTGCCAGGGTTGGGAGACCCATGCACTACATGATTGCAGCCTCTTATGCAGTGGTTCTCAACCTGTGGGTCGGGACCCCATTTGGGGTCGATCAACCATTTCACGGGGGTCGCCAAGCAAGGCTGTCCACCATTTTTTTGTCCGCCATTTTTTCCTTTTCCGGCGGGTGCCTTACCTCCCTTGGGCTGGGCCAGCTGGTTGTTGGCCTGCTCCGTCTCTGCCGCTTGCCAGCTACGCCTCGGCCGGCGAAGGGGGCGGAACCACGCATGCGCGGCGCTCCCGGGCAGGGAAAGTCCTCGACTTACGACCGGTTGGGTAGTCCTCGACTTACGACCGGTTTAGTCCTCGACTTACGACCGGTTTAGTCCTCAACTTACGACCGGTTTAGTCCTCAACTTATGACCGGTTGGGGTCGCGGCATTAAAAAGGTTGAGAACCACTGCTCTTATGGAAAAGTATAACAAAGCATTCCATCACCAACCTCCAGCTGATTCTTTTTAAACCAAGGATATAAACTATGTCTGCAAAAGAAACTTCGTTTTTGCTGGAGACCTTATTTTCAGAATTCAAATACAACCGTAAACCATAATGGGGTTTGTTTGTTTTTAAATTACTGTAACACAAAACAAAAACTCATCCACCATGGTTCATTTCTTGGGTGCGTTCATACATTGTTCTAAAACTAAGAGTATATCTTCAGCATTTTCTAATAACTTCTCAGTATTTTTCAGCCAATAGAAACAAGATTTACATATGCTGTACTTTTTTTTTCATAGCTATGGAAAAATATGGAACAGAATTAGAACTGCCTGTCTTCCCAATAGTTGAATCTCCATTAAAACATAAGTTTGTAGATTACAAATATTTTAGTGAGAGAGCAACAATCAGAATTTCTTGATTTGAAAGCAGGGCTTTGGTGGTACTCATTTCTTGGGTACCCCCTCCTATGCCAAAATTATATCCAATTATTAAAAAAATAGATAAAACGGTAACAATTGGTTATGAAAAATAGAATAGAATCATGTATATTTGTTCTATTTATACAATTTATACTTGGTGCCAGATATTAAGCAAAATGAATAATACATAATTGTGGCTTGAACAAGAGTTTTGTGTAGTTTCCTTCATGCTTTATTACATGAGGCAGACTAAATAATTGAGAACAGTTTTCAAAAAAGTAGCTGTACAACATCTATTGTATCAAAGCAAAGTCTTGTAGCAGCTTAAAGGCTAATTATAGCATTTGCTTGTTTTTGGAGCAGAAATGTCCCCTAAAAATTTGCGCCCTAATGTAAGGCGTATTTTCCTCTTCCTGTCTTCCATTCATGTTCCTTTTAGTCTGTAGGTTTGAAGAGAAAAAAAAAGACAAAATATGCATCTAAACAAAAATATCTGTATACCACTTACTACCATTTTTGTAATTTATTGATCATAAAATAGATGTTTTTGTGTACTGGTTCTGCGGAAAAATAGTTACCGGTAAAAGATTTTAAAGGCTTGTTTATAGTGCAATTTCAACAATATTTTTTAATTTATTTGTAATGCCTTCAAGATTTGCAACAAGTTTTCAGAATTGGTGACTTTGTTTATATAGGTTGATGGCTACTGCAAAAAAACAACAACCCTTTAGATCATTTTGGCACCTCATTTATTTTCATAGGCATTAAAGTACTAGCTTTGCATTTTGAAAATAATCTTGTGTAACTTGCTTGCATAGCTAGCCTTGTATTCTTGATTTCTTTTGGCAATAGAAAAACATATGAAGTCTCGGTATGGCTTCTTTGTTGTCTGTGAATTGGAGTTAGTTATTTCCCTCTTTTTTTCTTAAGAGTTAGGTTCTCTTAATTTACCAGTGTGATGAAATTTTGCATAAAGCCAATGTAACAACTGAGTTAGCTCTTGTGCTTTCACTTAATGTCAGACATATAGTACTTGTGACAGAAAAGAATCAATAAACACTCCTTTTTTTAATACTTGAACGTTTGTACTTTTACTATGACATATTAACCACCATGGAACCATTCTCCTGTAATTGTAGTAGTAGTGTTGGTCGTGATAGCAGTCTTGAGATTTCCTTCCTAGCTTTCTACTGTATTTCATCTTAACCTCTTCAAAATGCCTTTTGTTCACCCTTCGCACAGAGAGACACAGTGTGTATTTTAGTGTATCTTGTACTTGAGCAAACTAGGGATACATCTGGCCATTATATAAACCAGGGGTCCCCAACCTCTGGGCTTTGACCCAGCACCAGGCCATGGCCCGTTCAGAACCAGGCCACAAAAGTGGCAGATGAGTGCATGCAGCTTCACTTGTGTGAGCGATGCACACGTGCCACACCTGCCACTCTCAGAAAACCATCCCCTCCCCCCAGTAGTCCGCCAAGCCAGAAAGGTTGGGGACCACAGATATAAACCATCTTTTTATCATCACGTTTCCCTATAAACTTGTTCCACAAATGAAAGTGAAATTGTATCTTTCAACTCAGATTTGCTTGGATTAAAGCAAAACAATCTTGCGTACTTGAGAAAGGTGGGAAATAAATTTGCAGTCTGCAAAGTGTCACTCAAAAGCATGTTTTTTGACACTATCCCCTTTTAAATAGGAAAAATAAAAATACTCCTGGTAGTAGGAAGCCTGCGTTGGTTTGAATGCAGAAACTAATGCATGTGGTCCTCAACTGAGGAACACAATTGAGCCCAAACGTCCTGTTGCTAAAGCAAGACAGTTAAGTGAGTTTTACCTCATTTTACAACCTTCCTTGTCACAATTGTTAATTGAGTCACTGCAATTAAGTTGGTAGCACAGTTGTTAAGTGAATCTGGCTTCCTCATTGATTTTGCTTGTCAGGTCACAAAAGATGATCACATGACTCTGGGACACTGCACCCATCATAAATACACAAAAAGAATGAATGAGCCTTTTAATTATGAAAGGTAACCACAGCTGAAAATTTATTTCAACTAATTATCAAGCAATAAATTAAACATAGTCACAATCTAAAAAAAACACATGCATTTTAGACATCCTTATAAAATATACACAATTGGGCTGAGTGTGATATCAAAAACTTTTGACTGAAGGGTAAGCCAAGTTATGTTCGAAGGGGTGTGCAAACTTCCCATATTGTACCCACGGGAGACAGAACATGTAAGACAACCGCCTATGAAAACACTGTCATCCATAGGCACCTGACGTGCTACAGTAAAAATAAGCTAATTGTTAAGGAAGTCAAAGATCTCTTCAAGGTAAATTCTCCCAAGCTATATAATCATCAAGGAGCAAAATATGAAACCATTCTATTCTGAAAGACTAGTTTAAAGTGTAGAAGATTCACGTGGCTATCTTTGGCATAACGTGATGGGTCCAATTTGGGGTGGGGAAGAGCAATGCGGGACTGGAGAAAGGCTAGGTGCTTTTCATTGAGTCTAGCCCAATTTTACAGAGGAAATGCGGGTTACATCCCAGTAGGAATTGCATTTTGCTCAAAAGTCCTACTTAAAATTGGCTTCAGCAGTAAAATGGAGAAGTTTGATCTGACCAAAAAGGTATATCCTTGCTATCTAGAAAAAGGAATCTTACAGGTTGGCATTTCTCTTGAAGAAAAATAACTCTCTACATGCTCTTTCTGTTAAAGTTGCTGTAAAGGTCTCAACTTTCCACATTATGTAGGATTCCTGGGGAGGGAGAGGGCAACACTTACATCCTCTTTGAGGATCCACATGAAGGATTATTTTATAGAGCAGTGTTGCTCAACCATGGTAAATTTATGAAATGTGGACTTCAACTCCCAGAAGTTCCCAGCTACTATGCCTGGAGAAGATTCAGCCTTTCCTAACCTGATTCTCACCAAATATTCTATTATCCTTAAACGTTGGCTATACTGACTGGAGCTTATGAGACTTGGGCATCTTCAGGAACTCACTTGTTGGGGAACGGCTACTTGGACGCCATCTTTACTCTGGCCCCACACAATAGGATAACGATTTCTTCCCTGATGTCTCAAGACTCTAAACCACTTGGCATGCAGACATCTGCTGTGTTAGGTGAAGAAGAAAAAAACATGTTTGTGCATTTGTGTCAGAGAAACCTGATTACTATTAGTCGGATGACACAAAAGACTTCCTGCCCAGAAACACGAGAAACAAGGGCCACAGGTCACTAACTTAGTGGCTGATCAAGTTATCACACCAGAATGGCATAAACAGGAACCAAGAACTCAATATAAGCATGAACAAAGACCTTGCTCTTGTCACGTCACCCTCAAGAGGCAAAAGGTGGGAGGAAAAGCATTTCCAGATTTACTGGCATTTCCCAAGTTGTCTCCCAAAAAAAATAATATATTCCCTATGCTTCATAAATCCAAATTCCATTATTTTTTTTTTCATTTTAAATTGGTTTCAGACACATGGAATCTGAAAGTTACTTCACAGTGAGCCTTCAATTCTTCTCCCTTTCTTTACCCAAAGCCTCGGTTTAGCAAAACAGGTGGTGTTAAGATGTATTATCGTTCCAATCAAGAATTCCAAAAACCAGGCACTTTAATAAAACACGGCCCACCCTTGGGGTAGCTGAAAGCATATGCAAAGTGGTCAGATGCAGGCACTAGGAGAATGCACATTTCAAAACCAGATTGGACCCGGTGTTTTGGACCTTGTCTAAACCCAAGACTTCTTGTGCATCCATTAAAGCAGCCCTTCATTCTGGCTTCAAGCAAGCCTGATCAAAAGATGCAGCTACTTTTAAGAGCTGCTTTATTTAATGCAACTATTGCTCCACGCAGAAGCCTGAAAAAGACGAGAGGCTCTGCTGACATAAGACCAAAAACCTCCCTTCTCAAATCATTTTTGAAATGTGCCCTGTTCCTAGCAGGTCCTTCACACATACGCAGGTACTCCAGCCTGCTCCCTCTCATATTTGCAGACGGTAGATTCATGCTGGCTGGAAATTCTGGAATCTGTAGTCCAAAATATTGGGAGCACTTGCTCAGAGTAACACAACAAAGCCTGGAGTTCAACCACATTCAAGCCTTTGACTTTCTTTTGTCTTCTCCCTACCCAGCACCCAAAAACATTATCAGGACTTTAAAACTTCAAGCTTTTTATATTTTATATAGTTTTAGAAAATGAGGTAAGACATCTTGCCAAGAAAGGACATGCTGGAACCGACTGCCCCACTAGGTTCCATTCTAGCTGCAACGTTGCCCATTATAATTGCTGTCTTTGGTGCATTCCATTTGGCTGTAGGGGAGTGGGGGGCAGAGTTCTTTATTGCCTATAGTGATTGCCAATGGGGCTGTAGGGGCTGTAGGATTCTGTCCTTTGACGTCCCTAGGTGTTCACCTCCAAAGATCTACTCTAGCAGGAGGGAGAGGTGGTGATAGGGCTATGCAGATAAGGAAGGCTACTGGAAGTGGAATGCACTGCCACAGAGACTGGGAAGCTGAAAACAAACTGGGACGTAGGTGTGGAGGAGCTGTTCCCCCTCTCTCTTAGCGTTCCTGAAGGGCTCGCAGCCTCAGCAGCACACGATGTGGTCAGCACTTGGGATTCAAACTGAAGCAGTTGACCCATGAAGCTGAAGTTCGGCGAGATGATGCTCCGGCGTTGCTTGACAAACTCAAAGGCCTCCTCAAGCTTCACTCGCTTCTTCATGATTAGGTAAGCCAAACAGATGGTAGCTGATCGGGAGATGCCAGCTTGGCAGTGCACAAGCACCCGTCCGTGACACACCTTCACAGCATCTGAGGGAGCAAAGCGGAACTATTAGCACATTCAACCCTTAAAATGCAACTTTGACCCAATTGCGGGACTGTGAGCCACAATTCCCCCAGGCCCTTGGAAACCGTCTGCCCCCCATTTTATTTATTGGGTCACTTTATACAGCCACCCCAAGTTGCTGGCCAATTAGGTGCCTATATAAATCGATCGAATCAAAATAAATAAAAAGCAAGAGTATAATTTGGTTAACATATTTTACAGCATGTGAAAGATGCTCTTTAAAGGTACAAGGTACATTTAAATTGCATATATATATTATATACGCATATATATACACACACATACATACACACACACACAGTTTCATATTTTTTCATCCTCCAATATCACTATCTTGTCCCTCAGTTGAATGCAAGCAAAACATCCCTCAAAAGGTATTTGTGTTTGTATGCTATTTCTAAACGTGGTTCTAGATATCTAGATGTGATACACAGTTGGCTGACCGGCCGTACCCAGCGTGTGGTCCTCAATGGAACCGCATCTACATGGAGGGAAGTGTGTAGTGGGGTACGCCAAGGCTCTGTTCTGGGCCCAGTGCTCTTCAACATCTTCATCAACGATTTGGACGAGGGGATAGATGGGGAAATCATCAAATTTGCAGACGACACCAAGTTGGCAGGAATAGCCAACACTCCAGAAGACAGGCTTAGGATACAGGAGGATCTGGACAGACTTGAACACTGGGCACTATCTAACAAAATGAAATTCAATGGTGAAAAAAGTAAGGTTCTACATTTAGGCAAGAAAAACCAAATGTACAGGTATAGTATAGGTGGTTCCTTCCTCAATAGTAGTAACTGTGAGAGGGACCTCGGAGTCCTAGTGGACAATCACTTAAATATGAGCCAGCAGTGTGTTGCAGCTGCCAGAAAGGCCAACACAGTGCTGGGCTGCATTAACAGAGGGATAGAATCAAGATCACGTGAAGTATTAATACCACTTTACAATGCCTTGGTAAGGCCACACTTGGAATACTGCATCCAGTTTTGGTCACCACGATGTAAAAAAGATGTTGAGACTCTAGAAAGAGTACAGAGAAGAGCAACAAAGATGATTAGGGG